CACGAGCATAAGACGCAGAGGATGGACCGATACAAGCTTGTGGCTAAATTATCCAAAATGTTGCTAGAATTTCGTGGACAAGCTGAAAAGTTTTACTTAGTCGCACTGGGGTTTGTCACATTTAGATTGCGTCGTAAGGCCACCAAGGTCTGGGAAGGTGCTAGAGACTCGGTTCGCCTTGTTGGGTATTACTGGTGGCGCATTCATCTCCACCCTAGGGATTTCGAACTTACAGCCGTTGAACTTGTGGTTAGCCGCTTGTAATACTTGATCATGGTGGATAGCAGCGCCCAAAATGTTTGACTGACTGGCGGGGTTATAGACCAACTCAAAATCTAATGCCACGGTGTCTTTCGCTAAGCCATTAGCAGTTTTACAGGGTGGTAGGCAGGTTTAGAAAATAATAATAATAATAATAATATACTAGGACTGATATTTGCCCAAAGGAAGTAATTACCCAATCAGTTTCTGATGCCGCAAGGACGTCGGTAGCCTGGTAACGTATGATGCTCTGGAGACCCACTCTAGTCTCAACGCATAAGCAACATGCATGGCGCGGGGAGTATAAGGTGCTATATTAGTTGTGTATACCGCCACCATGTGGATCAGCTGTTGGTGGGCTCTGGAAGGATAAACCAGTAACCCAGCGCTTTCCCAGCTAGAGGTGACCGCGTGACTGGATCCAGCTGTGGCACACCTGCTTAAAATGAGGTTATTGCAAACAGCTCAAACGATTCGGTTGTACTGGCACCAGTTCTGCGAGAATCGTTTTCAGGCTGATATCCAACGCATCGTCGCGACAGCACATTAATTGACTGATTAATTGATGGCCTGAGAATACTAGTTCACATTCCACCTCGCAAGCCAACATCAGGACGAAACTAGACGAAAGCTATTACTTAGAAGTGGCGACATCAATAGCAAGCACCCAAATCCCAAATTAGTTATAAATTTTCGACCGAGTACACTAATGCTATGCACCAAGTCAGCCCGATAAAATGCAACTCACCAGTCTGATAGCCCAATGTCGTCCATCCGCGGTCATGAAAGTTAACAGTGTGCCAGTCTGCATGTAGGTTTTGAACCCAAAGGTGACGTTGTCCTCCACTGTCCTAACCGGAGGAATGAGCGGGTAGACAAAGTATCCGTCTTTCTCGTAATTAACGTAAATACCCTGAGAACCTGCAGATAAACAAGAGAGGAGATGCTTAGTTTGCATATGCAAACGAATGGTATACATGTCCGTAGCAAGATCCGCAATTCGTTTCCAAATATAATGGTTATAACATCGTTCATCTAAGCAACTATGCGAACACATTGCATAGGCTATCCAGTTTCTTCCGGTTAACAACAAGGAATAGTTTACATCTGAACAACTGGCTACTCAGCTACCCACACTTCCGTGGTGTCATAAGTTTACGCCGGATGTCCATCAATCAGGGAAGGACAATATTAATACATAAGGTGCCACAACGATGACACAAAGGAATTTTCCAATTCTTCCATTTTACTCATCAGTATGGGAATATTGTTGCCTTAATCGTGGTAGCGCCGACGTGACTTTCATGATTGATCAATTGCGTTCAGATTACTGGCTCGCACTATAGGTCGGTGTTGACTTGAACTGACACCGGACTAGACGATCGGATGCCCCGTATTCCTATTTGTTTAATATAGTCATTTCACCCGGTGTGCACCAGGTAACAAGGTACATGCGCCTCAGCGGAATTGGTCCCGTAGATTGGGGGCTTTGAGCTTGGGGTTGCGGGAGTTTGAAATTTGCCGTCGCATTTCTGGTCTACCAAGCTGAGTTAGTGTACACAATAGATACCGTCGTTTTCCTGACACGTGATAACGCAGCATGGTGTGGTTGTAGTATTACGCCAGCAAACGAAAAGTTCATTGACAGGTGGACAGAATGCAAAACAGGAAAGTGGGTATATATCCCACATACCACCCTAACAGTAACCCAATATAGAAGCATCCTAACCTTAACGATGACAGGTGCTTAGCTCAGAGTCCGTATTCTAGTTTTCACGACCGCCAGTTCTACGATCTGCCGCCGATCCAGTTCAGACATTGCGAATTAGTTCAATTGTGCTACATGTGGTAGGATAAAACAAAACTTATTATTTTTTTTAGTACGGATGCCCACAAATAAACTGAAAGCCATATAACAAGGACTAAGAAGGAAAATAGCGTTTAGGTCGTTCAACAGTTTACCAATTGTAACGATCGATCTGATCAGTGCGGCCGAAATATAAGATATACTACTTATAAATAGAAAGCAGTAGTAAAGTTACATATTGAATCTGGAAATTAAGTGTTACGAATATGAAGCTAACCATATAGGCGAATCTACGGGACTTTTTAACAGCTTCACTCAAATAATTGTCCATCCAACCTTGGAACGCGTAAGAAAGCAAATATTATGCCACCAGCATAACGCTCCGTTGATGGTTTTCCAACCAGCAGTGCAAATAATTCAGAGGTGCAACAAGCATCAATTGATTAATTTACCGACAAGCTGGCTAATAAAGTAAAATCTTAATTATCTACCTATCGTAAAAACTCATTCAACAGGGAGAATTGAAGCTAGTGTCTGTTAAAACTTGGTATTTCTATGGATGTAGAAATATCATCGTGATTTTGATATTCTATGCATAAGCCAGACAATGGACATATTGGTACAATGAGCATCGTACTCACTTCCTTCACAGTGCTTTCCAGTCCTGCCTGTGCGTGCACAGTCGCACACATATTGTTTATCGCCCAACACGCTGCATATCCCACCGTACAGGCAATAGTTAGGTGGGCATGCGATCGGCTCGTTGCAAATTACCCCGCGAAATCCTGTTCCGGAACAATCACACACATATTTGCCCTGCTTCACTGCACACCGTCCTCCATTTTGACAAAAGCCCACCGGACAAGTTTGAGCTATTTCGCAACGCGTACCAGTGTAGTCGGTGCCCAAACAATCACACTGTGGCACGCCTCCGACCATTGTGCATCGTCCACCGTGAAAACAGTAGTCTGATGGGCAAACTTTAGGCAAATGACATCGGTCTCCCTCGTAGTTCACCGGGCAAGTACATATGGGTTGTTTGTCCGGTCCGGGAGTGCAGAATCCTCCATTGATACAGTAGTTTTCTGGACACACTTCAAGTTCGCATCGCAGACCGCTGTATCCAGAATGACAATCACAAGTAGGTTGCCGTTGCCGTACCACGCACAGCCCACGCCCACCACAAAATGCTGGCGGACACAGAGGAGTTTCACATCGTTCGCCGTGATAATTCGTTAACAAGCAGTCACAGACAGGTTGACCCGCTTCATTCACGCGGCACAAGCCGCCGTGTAGACAATGACCTGGTGTGCAGATCGGTGTTTCGCAGCGGCCTCCGCGATGTCCTGTGCCTGCACAGTTGCACACAGGTTCATTATTGATATCGATTGAGCAGCGGCCATTGTTGAGGCAGTAACCAGGCGAGCAGATAGGTGTTTGACATCGACTTCCCGTGAACCCGGTACCTTCGCAAGAACATGTCGGCTTTCCCGATGAGTCCAGATGACAGCGACCCCCGTTCTGACACAAGCCGGGCACACAAACAGGCTCGGTACACCTATTTCCTCCGTATCCAGTGCCTGCGCAGTCACACATTGGCTGGTCGTTTGGTCCGACAACGCAGCGTCCACCATTTGAACAGTATCCGTCCGTACAGATGCGCACTTGACAACGGTCACCGGTGTAACCTGTTCCACGGCACTCACAACGAGGCAAGTCGTTTGGTCCCATTAAGCACCGTCCTCCGTTTGAGCAATACCCCTCAGTGCAAACGGGTGTTTGACATCGATCACCTCCGTAGCCAGTACCGCGGCATTCACACTGCGGTAAATCATTGGGACCCACTACGCATCGACCCCCATGGGAACAGTAGTTAATGGTACAGATGGGGATTTGACAGCGGTCTCCTGTATAGCCAGTTCCACGACACTCGCACAAAGGCAAATCGTTTGGGCCTACAACGCATCTGCCCCGATTGGCACAGTGATCAGGCGTACAAATGGGTGTGCGGCACTCAGGTCCTTTGAATCCGGTCCCGGCACAATTGCATTCGGGCACACCGTACACATTCAGCACACATCGACCACCGTTACTACACATGTCCGGTCGGCACGCAGGTTTCTCACACCGAGGCCCTGTATGTCCAGTGCCCGAACAATCGCACACCGGCTGCTGATTGGGACCCACACGACAGCGTCCATTGTTTTGACAGTAATTCGGTGGGCAAATGGGTTCCTGACATTTCTCCCCACGATATCCCGTCCCCTCGCAGTTGCAGGTCGGCATCGAGCCAAGCATGGTGCATACACCACCGTTGAAACAATAGCCTCCGGCAGCAATACATGGGCTCAATTCGCAACGATCTCCATAATAGCCAGTCCCGCTGCAGTCACATTTGGGCTGTCCGTTGACGACGGAACACCGTCCTCGTTGATTACAATAGTTGGGTGGACATTCTATCACTTGGGATTCACAACGTGGTCCCTCGTAACCCGTTCCAGTGCAGATGCAACGTATTTCCCGCTCAGAAACTTGTTCACATCTGCCACGATGACAGTAGTCGGGAGTGCACCTCCTTTGATCTAATGGAAGGAGAAAAGGAAGGATAATATTCAGTTTGACTAGGTAACTGACGAAATGGTTTGCAACTATTGGATTGCTAAACAGACTGACGTTGCATTAGTGGAAAATTAACCAGTTTATGTTAAAGGGGATATTTTGTTATCAGTACTGTCCACACGAAATCAGCCTGGATCGCAGGACGAACTTGACAAGCAAGGGGGTGGGATCACGTGAACGGCAAAGCATGCACATACGTGAAAATATTTCGAAAAACTTGGTATTTTTATACGCTAATATGTGGAAGTTGTATGAGCTGTGATGGCGAAAGACCGCCGATTGATTGTCTGAATGACTGCATAAGAAACTAACTTGGATAAGAATGCAGTTAGTAGAATTGTAACAAACGTTTTGCACATGCGAAAAAATTGTGCAAAACTGGTGCCCAAAAGCTTGTCTGTGGAGGGAGAAAAGAACCGATTGGAAATTTGTCAGGATTTACTGGGGAGACTCGTCAATGAACCAAATGTCTTGGATAACGTAATTCCACGTGAATCATGGATGTTCGAGTATTATCCTGAGACCAAATGTCAAAGTGAGGAATGGCACACGACAAATCCTCCTCGTCCGAAGAAAGCACGCAGGAGCAGATCCAGGGTGAAAACGATGATCGTCTTTTTCTCGACGGCCTTGGAATTGTTCAAAAACAATTTGTACCTCCAAGGTAGAAAGTTAATCAGGCCTACAAAGGTGTCGTGGAGCGACCTCGAAAACGGGTCCAGCGAATCCGAAAGGACATTGCAGATGTTTGGGTTTCAAGATGTTTGGCTGCTGCACCACGGTATCGCGCCTGTTCACACACAGCGCTTTGTTTTTGGCGAAGAAAAACATCCCCACACTAACACAACCTTCCTGCGGCCCAGACCTATATCCATGCAATTTCTACATCTTCCCTAATTTGACATCTAACTTGAGAGATCATCCTCATAGAACTGTGGAAAACATCAAAAAATGGTAACCGATGAATTAAACGTTCCTACGGAAAATGACTTTCAGTACTGCTACGATCAGTAGAAAAAACCTTGGAACCACTGTGTAACTTCCATGGGTCATACTTTGAAGGAAAACTTGCAATTTCGGGAGAGTCTTTCATATATTTAAATATAAAATCAGTACACTAGGACACAGGGATATATATATATATATATATATATATATATATATATATATATATATATATATATATATATATATATATATATATATATATATGGTTGGCGGCATCCGGTTTCGGATTTGCCTGTCATTGTGGTAATCCACAGGACGCCTGCGCCTACAGAGGGACCATGGATGGCTTGCGCTGCACCACCCACAGCTCCAACCACACACCCCATATCCAGTGTAAACCCGAAGGAATAAGACCGGGAGGCATGTGGATGGGAACCACCATTCATCAACGGAGCCGGCCCACACTCCTTCACAGGCAAACACATGCACGTTGTATTTGGGAAATCAAGCGCACAGAAGCCGGTGGCTGGACCGCAGTCCGCTCCACACTGAGTGCATGGAACCGCTCTTTGAGCCAAGCACGGCCACAAGAACCGTGCACCCTGTCCCCTCCAGCAACGACCAACTGTCTCCTGGAGCCAGTATGGACGAGGTAGTGGGTAATAGACAGGTAGGCACCTTGTCAACATGCACATCAAGCGCAGCCACACCGGGGATATCAAACAACAGCCAAACACTTGAGAGAGAGAAAGAAAAAGAGAAAGAGAAAAACTCGATTAATGCTTAAGGAAACGGTGACATAAACCTTAATTAAATAGCATATGTAATAAGTTGTTTACAAACAGATCCTAGCTAAGTGCACGAGGTTAGGAAGTATAGTTCACGGAATGCCACGAACGCAAAAATGTTATGGAAATCGAATACAACTGGCTTAGGCGATGTGTGCAAGTTGATGGAATAGAGTACAGGGAGATATTTATATGAGAAAGAAAAGCATTAAGGTAAAACCTGTAAACCCACCACCTGAAATAAAGAGACTTAGCATACAAGCACGCGGTTAGTAAATCGAATTCAGCGTGCCTACAAACGCTGCGCCGGCTCGCCGTAATTCTCTGCAGGACCCGTCGTCGCTTCTGTAGTGGCCCCAAATGGCAAAGCTCATGGCCCACTAGACATTTATATGAGAAAGAAAGGCATTAGGATAGAACCGAAAACCCACCACCTGAAATAAAGAGACTTAGCATGCAACCATGCGGTTAGTAAATCGAATTCAGCGTGCCTACAAACGCTGCGCCAGTGCTGCCTACGTTCACTGCGGGACCCGTCGTCGCTTCGGCAGTGGTCCCGAGTGACCTCTCTCATGGCTCACTAGGCCTGCCTGACTAAGGCACTCGCGACCGCATGTACTACAGCACCATGCGCTTGATGTCGATGGAGTACAATTCATTGGTGCTTGCCGCTTCCGCACTTGCCGCTTCTTCTCTGCATGCATGAGGGCTTTCTCCCGCACTTCAGCAACTGCCTTCGTGATTAGATCGCGCCATGCACCACGATCAATCGCCTTCGATTCCCATGACCTGCACTCAAGATTAGAACGTTTGAGGCTCACTTTAATCATGTCCTGGTAACGTAACTTTGGTTTCCCCACGTGCCGCTTCCCTATACTCAGCTGACCGTATAAAAGTTGTTTCAGTATTCGCGTCGAATCCATACGGCTCACATGACCGAGCCATCTCAGGTGTCGCAGTAAAAGTATGCCGTCCACTGCATACATCCCACTTCGGCGCAACACTTCCGTGTCTGAGACTCTGGCGCCCCAACTGATTCGCAAAATTCGTCGCAGACACTGCTGATGAAACCGCTCGAGATATCGCACATCCCGACGGTACATCGTCCACGTTTCACTGCCGTATAGAAGAACGGACAGTACCATGAATTTGTACACCATCAGCTTCGTGCCAATGCTAAGCTGATGGTTGTTCAACACTCGGTACTCAAGCTTCGCGAATGCCGCTGCCGCCTTCGACACGCGATTACGCAACTCACTGTGTAGCTGCTGATCAGTCGACATCACACTCCCAAGGTAGCAGAAGCGGGAGGTGGTTTCCAATACTTCAGCACCAATGCTGATTTGCGGCAATATTGAAGATTGCACCTCCGGTGAAGGCATGCATGTATAGTATTATATATATATATATATATATATATATATATATATATATATATATATATATATATATATATATATATATATATATATATATATGCCCCATGCTGAGGCTGATGTTACATTCTTGATGTTTCTTCACCGCAGCTGGGCTGAACCAACTTATACTAGGTATTTTTAAGCCGAATACACTCCATTCCAATTTATTTGCTATGTTCCGCCTACCTGAATAATCTTCTATTAACTGGCCATGTTGCTTACGGCAATTGTGGCTATCTTCGTTAACTTTACTGTGTTTGTAGAATTTTTCCGGTGACCCGTAGACATTTGGTACTTATCGCAGATTCGTTGATAATTACCTTAATTCATATGCTAATTTATCGAAGAGTTATGTCGGTGTAGCCGTATTCTTTAACAGATTTATTTGATAACGTCATTTAAAGTGATTGGCTGTTGTTTGACATCCCCCCTGCGGCTGCGCTGGATGTGCATGTTGACAAGGTGCCTACCTGTCTATTACCCACTACCTCGTCCATACTCGCTCCAGGAGACAGTTGGTCGTTGCTGTAGGGGTCAGGGTGCACGGTCGTTGTGGTCGTGCTACGCTCGAAGAGTGGTTCCATGCACTCAGTGTGGAGCGGACTACGGTCCAGCCACCGCCTTGTGTGCGCTTGATTCCCCAAATACAGCGTGCTTGTGTTTGCCTGTGAAGTAGTGTGGGCCGGCTCAGTTGATGAAACGTGGCTCCCATCCACATGCCTCCCGGTCTTATTCCTTCGGGTTTACACTGGATATGGGGTGTGTGGTTGGAGCTGTGGGTGGTGCAGCGCAAGCCACCCATAGTCCCTCTGTAGGCGCAGGCGTCCTGTGGCTGACCACAGTGAGGCGTAATGTAAAATACGGAGCTTTTGTCCATGTGCGCAAGTAGTCTAGTGACGACAAGCACGCTAAACCGAATACTCAGAACAGGCTATATCTAAATAAGCACAACATCCGTGGGGAACACAAGATTGGATAATGAGCAGAGCCCCAACTAGCAACCTTGGCTTGTGCGCTTTGGAGAAGGCCGTGATTTGTGCGATCAATAGGATGAGAGCACCACGGATGTCGGATACAATCTAACATACAGTAACTTAACGTCCAATCGATCATCGCAGTATGCTGAGCTGTGCAATCAGTGCGAGTTCGTTCAGTTTGGTTGAACTTCTTCCATTGGGGATAATGATACATACGGTGATTGGTTGAAAACGCTGCGTTGATAAAACAAGTAATCTCTCTGTTCAATATCTTGGAACATATTTGGAACCGATCGGTAAGTCATGATTTCAGAAAACTTGGTAGACGACCGGTTAATGTATTTATGGTAATAGACGAAACGTTGTCTATTACCATAAATACATTAACCGGTCGTCTACCAAGTTTTCTGGAATCATAATCTCTCTGTGAATTATAGCAATGCGTTGGAAGTTCAAACAGAAGCCAAAATTTTAAGATAGCTGATTAGAATACGTTTCTACCAAACGATCAGAAGTTTAAAAGAACTTTCTAACACATCCATGCTCTATGTTGTTGCTTTGACATAACACATCAAAGTCCACTCGACTATGATCACAGATTCTGCGACGAATATCAGACAATTCGGAAGCAAGAAAACATTGCTGCTTTTCGGTTTGGATAAAACTACAATACGCACACTGTTAGGAGAATCTATTTGACGTTCATTTTTATGAACGAGATTAGCGGCCGTTTTACATGCTTCCTGTCGTCTACCTCTTGACAGTTATTTAAACTTTCCACTTCGCTACTCCGATTGGCAAACGCACGTGGCTATCAATGGACGCTCACCTTACGCGTCACTGGCAGCGGCATCATTTCCAATACATTCGAATTGGTTTTCATTCCCATAACTTTTTATTTGGTTATGGGAAGGGAATGTTTAGTTTTGTGGTGGTTCATACTTTCCGGGTTTGCCTTGCTCCCTATCATCTGTTTCGTGACCCTTGTTTAAACACGTCATTTCGTTATTTTGATTGGCCAGCACCCGTCGTTTTGAATGGATGTGTACATTAGGGTTTGGGTCCCATAATTCCATTTCCAAGGACATAGACGATTTGTTCTGCATTCCCCGACTGCTCATCCACTTGTTGCATTTAGAGTTTTCCCTCTTTTTGGTTGGCTAGAATGAATTTCAGTGGTTTCCCTTTAAAACCTCTACAAAACTATATAAGCAATGTGTGATTTAGTACATACAATTCTTTCCTAACGAGTCTTTGTGTTCTCTCTTTTATGGGCCAAGGGCGAAGGCCTCGGCGGCGACACAACACATGTAATAGCAACTTAGCTGCCGCCTGCAAGAAAGGAAAACGAATTCCCCTGATAGGCAATGCCGTAACGTTTACTGTTTCCTCACCTCGACAGAAGCCGCGCACAATTTGGTTTGGTGGATAGGCTCGTAGTTCCGAATCGTGCCTTCGCAGCAAGTCTGCAGTGAACCCATCCGCTCTCAGACTGAACGATCCGAGACAGCCGGTGAACGCCGGTTGTTTGCCTTGTTCTGCCTCAGTGGATTGCACTGAAGCGGGGGCATAGTTTCGCACCAACGCCAGTACTGATTGCCATTCGGCTTCCGGCAAGCCACCAAAGTGAAAAGTCAACGTTTTGATACGATTTACTGCCAGGCCGCTGCCAATGTGCTGAAAAGAAAGTAAAAGTTTGGAATTTTAGGATTGGTTGGATTGTCAAATAAGAAACTGTCCTGAAAAGAGGCAATTCTAAGCAAATATTCGCTGGAGGTGATTGCACCAGTAAGCTTAGAATACCTGATATAGCGTTGTTCGGTAAGTACATCCACTTGATGGCAGTCGTAATCAGACTGCGAGACAGCGCGAATCCGAAGAAAGTGTCGAATGACCATTGTACCATGTCAAGAATTCTCAAAACCATGCGTCACATGCGAAACAGCGATTGACACCACTTGCAGCGGTCCAAAGATCCCCCGATTTACCAGCACTTGTGGCTTGTGATTGTAACTATAAGTAGTATCATATTATCCGCTCAAGCGATCGGTGCGGAATGCAGGGAGGTAGTTTGTCTGAACCGTGTGCATATCATGCGCACACTTTCGACGCCAAGATTAGATCCATACATTTCCTCCCTCGGTTCGTCAGTCGATACATGGAACTGTTGTATAGATCGTCATTAGACATTTATTCTGGTACGTGAGATATCTACAGCATAGATTCTGAACTCTCGTTTTCTATCTAATCCCTTTTGGAATTGGTGCAAGTCACAATAACAAAGTACACGCCTCAAGTGGATATGGCCCATTCGAAAGTCACTTGTGACCTATGTGTAAAAACCGTTAAGTCTGGTCCAGTTTGCTCTAACTGTCAAAAAGCGTACCATTCAAAGTGTTTAGGAATGAGTGCATTCGAAACTAAGCAATACAACAGCAAAACCGAAGCATTTTGGTTCTGCCAGGTGTGCAAATCCATCCCTGTTCTTAGTTGTGTAACTTTCCTAATGAAAAAGTGTGAAATATTGGCGGAAAAAGTTGAGCAACTGGTGAACGCTAGCAATGCATCTGTGAAAGTAAACAGTGCTATATTTGAAACTGAACGGACACCCATAAACTCCACTTTTAGGCCGAAGAAGCGGGCCAGGCGTCCCAACCTCATCACCACAAGAGGGTCGGCCAAGTGTCAAACCAGTTGTCTACATCCACAAACAACCTTCTAACCTATGAATCACTCTCCTGTTTTTATACCAACGCACATGTTCTTTTAAGCAAACTGACGGAGTTTCACTTGCGTCAGGCCTAAATGTCAAGGGACTTCGTTATGATAACCGAGACCTGATTGAATGAAGCGATCATTGACGCAGAAATCGCACTACCTGGGATGTTTATTCTACGCAAGTATCGATCAAATAGAGGAGGTGGAGCACTACCTTATTATCGCAGCGAACTACACATTGATCTCATCGATGACCCAGAGGTTCAGAATGTCGATACGCTTTGGTGTCCTCTTCACCTAAGTCGTGGGGACGCATGTTTGTTGGGTGTGGTGTATCGCCTCCGTCGACTACTTTGGAAATGGACAACCGCCTAGCCTCCACAATGAAGACCATTCTCTCGCAGTCGTACAGCCACATTCTCCTGGTTGGTGACTTCAATATTCATACCATAGAAACCCCAGCCTCCATCAACAAACGCTTAAAAATGGAAATACAGAGATAATTAGTGGACTACCACTCTACAATCACATCACATCTCCCACAAGATTCAGGGCGGGAAACAAACCGGGAGTCCTGGATCTCGTATTCCCCAATGAAGAGCTTATGATCAAAACGGTATCGATAGAGAGTCATTTAGGCCGTAGCGACCATGCAACCCTCATGTTCAAGTACACCTGTTATGCAGAGTATTCCTCAGAAAACACTGAGGAGTGTCAGCTCATTACGGATTACGGCGCTCTACTCACACTTATAAATGCTACAAACTAGGCATTTCTAGCAGAACGATCCCCCGATGTCGCCTGGTCTGAATTTGCTCACCAGTTCAACACGTCAGTAACTAGTGCTTCAAGAAAAAAACCTTTGCGAGCGAAGACAGTAAACTCATTCATACGCAGCAGGACACGCAAGTGTATCGTTACGAAGAATTTACTCTGGCGAAGATACAAAGAGTCATCGAGTGCCGAAACATGGGAAGCCTACACTATCCAAAGGAATCACTGCGTAAACCTGGTACGCGAAGATAAAATACAGCACCAACAGAATCTAGCTGAGAAAATCCTTTCAAACCCCAAGCTCCTGTACAGACACATAAACAAGCTCCGCAAAGTGCAGCGAGGAATTCATGCCTTACACACGTTATGTGGACTCGCACAAACCGCAACCGTGGCGGCCAACGCCCTAGGTCAACAATTCGCCCCGAACTTCCAGAGCACGACACCGCCGCATACACTGTTCCCGATCGTTGTACCACCACCAGGACTTAGCCATATCACGTTTACAACTGCGGATGTTATGAAAATGCTAATGGCCCTGCGCGAGCATACCTCTCCCGGCGTTGATAATATTCGTCCAAAAGCGTTGAAATTGGCTACAGTAAACCTGGCGGATCCACTCTGCAAGTTCTTCCAACGATGCATCGATTAGATGCGGGTGCCAACAATGTGGAAGCAAGGCATCGTCACTCCCATCCATAAGGGAGGAAGTCGTACAGATCCGGCCAACTATCGCCCGATAACACTACTTCCGGTGCCCTCCAAAATCATGGAAGCGATTGTTGCCGAAGCGCTGATGAACTTCTTGGAGGAACGCAATATCATAGCACAAGAACAACATGGATTTCGCAAGAACCGATCTTGCACTTCAAACTTCCTACTTGCTAGATCCAGTTGGACTGAGATCGTTGACAGCGGCGTAGGTGTTGACGCAGTATATCTGGACTTTTCAAAGGCTTTCGACCGTCTGAACCACCGTATCCTCCTTCACAAGCTGCAGTGTTGTGGAATTGGTGACCCAATCCTCGGTTGGATAGGTAACTTCTTGCTTCAACGATATCTGAATGTAAGAGTTCGCGGCGTCATCTCTGACCCAATCGACGTTAAGTGCGGAGTGCCCCAGGGCTCAGTACTTGGTCCACGACTATACCTGATTTACATAAACGATCTCGCGACAGTAATCACCTCCAACTCCTTACTCTTCGCTGACGATCTCAAGATATGGCGAGTTATTAGAACAACCAGCGACAATGCAGCACTTCAGGATGATCTGGACAGGGTCTACGAATGGTCGACTCAGAACCTGCTTCAGTTCAACGCTACAAAGTGCAAGGTATTGAGCATACGCCATAAAACGACTTGCGAATTAAGGCTGGGGGATCAAATATTGTAGTGCACTTCAACGGAACGCGATCTTGATGTGATAGTGCAGGAAGATCTGAGCTATTCCCGTCAGGCCGAGAAAGCCTCCAAAAAAGCTAATCAACACCTTGGCCTTTTGCGAAGGACATTCGGGTGCTTCGATCCTTCCATCTTTTCTCAGATGCTCAACGCCTACATTCGGCCTCATTCTGAGTACCCCATCCACGCCTGGCAGCCATGGCAAAAGCAAGACCTTACCGCTCTTGAACTGCAACAACGAAGGGCGGCCAAGAACGTAAAGGGCCTGTTTCATCTCCCTTACCGATTGAGGCTGAAAACCCTCGGGGTCTACGGTGGACAATATCGACGCCTGCGTGGCGATTTGATAATGACTTATATGATCCTGAAGAATCCAAACCATTCTTGTCGTCACCTACTAAAGCTGAATAGCAATACCACACTCAGAGGACACCAGCTAAAACTGGCCACACAATACAGCCGGTTGGAATGTCGCCGGGATTTCTTTTTCCTTCGTGTGTTTCAACACTGGAACGCTCTTCCCACATACGTTTTTTTATTCCTCCACGCTAACGGTATTCAAAAGACGTCTGGAAGATTCGCTTATCCACTTACATTACGCTATATAATCAAAGATGTCTACGTCAACCAAAGGCGAACAAACGGTGCTCATTCTCAGCTTTTGTGCTTCACTACTTACACACTGCTGTTGTGTAATTTAGTCTCGGATATATTACAACTGCATTCATCAATTACCTCAGTCCAAGAAAGCGATGCGTGAGCAGGCGCTGTCTTTTCTTTTGTTCTTAAGACACCTTCCTCATATTACTTCCAATATATCGTTGTTCATTGTTCAACAGCGCCTTCAGGATATCTGGATGCTATACAGTAAGGTTAATAGCTTGAATAAGTTGCTCTATCGAATGCTGAGTTGAGGATGACTGCAATGGATCGCCCTGCTTTATTACTAACTGTGATGGAATTACAAAATCACCATAACACTTTCCGTTATAATACACGTGCACTGTGTACGTAGGGCGATGTAGCGTCTGTCAAAGCGTAAGGATAAAAAAACCTTGTATCCAACGTAAGGTTTCTACAAGTGTGTGTTAGCTATGATAGGCAGAGCAGTTGATGGTGGATCAACTAGGTATTGATCGATTGTTAACAACCATCACAAAAGATATGCTTGCAAGAGCCAACAGGCCATTAGCAGGAAGCGGGTAAAATGCTTCAGCAAATCGTCTATAGAGACCGTTGTGTCCGTAAAGGCAAACGACCCAAACAGTAGGGAAACGCATGAATGTAACAATACGATCGCGCATGCTAGCAGACAAAACTAGGCAAAAGCACAGCAAGGTAATCCATAAAATGCGGGGACACCTGATTGGTCTAACGAATGTCTAGTAAGCGAATCGATGACAAGCATGACAAACTTGACAACGAAGAGAGGAATGAAGGCATTAACATCATACACAACAGCAGTGATACATTGGCCATTTGAACTGACGCATTGCTGTCGTACAACCAGAATGACCTACGGAATGAGGAATACTAAGTGGGAGAGAAGGAGTACCTAGCGTAAAAATTTAATCCTCTAAGCAAATATTCAGGGTAAAGGCGCTTACACCTTGACAAACAGCTTGTTATTGTGCAAAGAAAAGGTGGCATCGGAAAGGCAGCCTACCTGCGGTTTTCACTGCCTCGCGTCATAATCAGCCCGTAGCCCGCAGCTAAATAAGCATCAAACGCATTTTAAACAAGCAGACTATGGGAAAACAGCAGACACGCCACTGGTGAGACTGCTGGCCATGTACTGTAACGTCTCCTGCCAAGCACAAGGCGGGTCACGTGGACTCCAGTCTGGAAAGCGAGACGAACCGACCGCAGCGAGTTTGGTCGTTAGCGGCTTCATTTCTCTATGCCAATTTAACTATTCCCCACCTCGAGCTTTGCGTCATCCTATATATCCAGCAAACTAAACACAACCTCGCATCGGTAAGCTGTGACTGGGTGAGACGATGTGAGCGTTAAGGAATCAAGGTGAAGAGAATCTCATTAAATCTTGGAAATCTTGCTGAAGCATAGAGGCCCACCCCCAGGGGTTTTGGTTACGCCAACCTTGTTGATAAATTCGCACCCAGTGAATAAGGAAGATACGGAAAGTCTTTAGACATATACCAAAATATATAGCATCATTCCTTTCAAATGGGCGCGAAACAGAGAGAGCGTCCTATCGTTTGACTGAGCAAGATGAGTTCAATTTAGTAACCAGTATACATTTGAATAAACGACATTTAGTAGTCACAGATTGGCAGCGTTAAGCTATCAAACATTCGGAAAGCGATTATCATGGCTAGGAGGCAAATTTATGTTTACCGTTTAATGCAGCTGATCAATATACACAAAGGGATACAATACCACAGCATCCAGTGCGAGGCTCTGCGGTCTGCAGACGAACCATCAGCAAGTTGTGTGCCGGAAAAAATCGGGAAGTAATGTGGACTATGTACCGTTGCTCATTATGGTCGTTGATTTTTCGCAACTATGTCCATGCGTTATCTAGCAAAAACCTAGCGGGAACTCAAAACCCCGGATCCCGAGAAATTATTGGCTAGCATCTTAATAACATACGTACCAGGCTGGTAGTAGGGGCCAGCAACTCACCGTGGCTTGGACCTTTCGGTGAGTACGGTTCCGGTGCTCAAGATAACCAACATTTATCCAAACATCAATCGCTGTCTTAGCCGAGGTTGAGCGTAGGAACTTAAATACACATCAGTTCCTAAAGATCAAAGCGAACACTAGCGGCAGCGATTATGGACTCAGCACCTACGGTTCGGAACGATGTAAAATGACAACAGAAGTTTTACGTGTAATCCATTGGCTGGCCTGTTAATGTGAAATCCTCCTCATGCAAAACCAATGAAGAAACACATAGGATGTCAAGTACTTTAAAAAAATGGGTGGCTTACCTCTGGTGGGTACGAGTCTAGAAAGGTGATCAACTGCTTCTTACGCCGATCGAAACCCAATGCGACGCGATGCCATTGTCCGTCGTTCAGCTTGTTCGCCGAAGGACCGCTCGTTAGTTGGTGCACTCCTGATCTACCGTTGATGGAGTAGATAACGTGTAACCGACCACGCAATAGAGCTAGCGTGATATGTGACCCTGCAGCGGCAACTCCGGATTCTCTCGCCTGAGCAAGTGTAGGGATAGCAGTTAGGTGGGTGGGATCGTTAGATACATTTGACTATGAGGATCTGGTGTGAGATTAAGGGCAATCAAGGAAGGGCTTCTGACTTCACATGAACAATAAATATGACTGATGCATAGGGGGAGCTTAAATACATCGATCCTGCACATAAATGCCTCATTTCGAAGCGCCAAAGGCACGGGAAGGGTGGGAAAGCCATCTACCAAAACAGGGTTGCGTTACGAATGTGATGGTAGCTAAACACAAGCTGAGCTCCTGAACCAATTGCTCCACACGCATTTGCTTGTCTACTTAACTATGCGTTTGAGCGAATATTTTCCAGTCTAATTGATTACTTGTTTATTGATTTAATTATCGGCTAATCTAACTCCATGTTTGCTTCTTTATTTACGTGGAACTGCGCATCGTGTGGCCGTAATTTATCGCCCGCCAAACCTACCTCGGAAATGGACACCAAACTGAAACACATTTTGCAGGTTGATTTGAACACATCATACAGTCACATCCCTATTAATGGAGACTAACGGCCAAAACATGGAACGCCAGCAACCGATGGCGCACAGTTTAAAGCCTGTTTGCAAGAGCTAATTTCCGGTTATCCTCTGTACGACCATGTCACCTCTCCAAACAGATTTCAAATTGCTAGCATGCAGTCGATATTGATCTTGTGCTCACCAGCGAAGAACTCGCGATCAACGGGATAGTTACAAACACACCATAGAGTCGCAGTGACTATGTTACTCTGTGGTTTGATTACATATGCTTTGCGGAATATCCTGAAGAAGAGGACGATAAAGGCATACCATCAGGCAATTCAGCGCGTTATCCACGCTTGCTAAGGATACATCTTGGACCTTCTTAACTGAGTACCCCCAAAAGTCGACTGGGAGACATTCACAAGGATATTTAGTACACCGGCAGCACACGCATCAGAACAAAGTCCTTCCATCTTCAAAACTAAAACAAGTCGTTTCTGAGGAGCAGAACACGTAAATACATGTCCTTGGGGGACTTGGTATGGAAAGCTTAAAATGGTTCCCCGAATGCCGTCACCTGGAATGCAGACGTTGCGTGAAATTGATCCCCAAGGGGTTACTGAAGCTATACCGCACGAAAAGCAAACTGTTATCCACGCACGGTAGTTACCTTCGTTTAGAGGGAAACCAAATGCTATCAATATGGAAGCGAGAGATCATCACTACTATTCATAAGGGAGGTAGTCACAGCGACCATACAAATTACCATCAGGCAACAACGCTCCTTGTGATTTACAAACTTATGGAATCAATCATCGCAGATGCACCTATGAAGTCTGAAAAACCACCTCTTAACAGCCCAGAGGGCACATGACTTCCACCAAAAGCACTCATGTACTACCAACCTATTAATTGCACGTAATAGCTGGACTGAAGCTGTTGATTGTGGAGCAGCGTTTGATCCTTCAGACCCCCAAATTTTCCTTCGGCGACACAATTCTGCGTTGCATGATTTTCTACACGAACCTCGGTTGGAGAACAGAGTTCGTGAGTTTCTGTCCGAGGCAACTGAGGTGGAATGCGCTTTACCACAAGGCTCGATGCTAGGGTCTCGTTTATTCTTGGTTTTTCATCAGCGATCTAGCCAGCTCGGTTGTTTCCGAGTTCCTATTATTCGCAGATGATATTAAGATGTGGCGGACGATCAAAGGGCCGGACGACCACGAAGAGTACCAGTCCGATCTTAATGCCAGTTCGAGCTGGCCAGTTCAGAATACGCTACCGTTCAAGGTAGAAAAGTGCCGAATTGCTCAACTACGCCATATGCATAACTATACGTATTGGCAAGAGGCACACAGATTGCAGACAAGTATCCAGGATCGCAACATTGATGTGCTGGTACTGAGTGACCTCAAGTGTTCCGAGCAGTCAGATGCAGCTGCGAAAAGAAGCAAACAACATGTCGGTCTGCTGCGAAGGGCATTCAAAAGAGATTTGAACAGTCAATCTTCCCAGTAATGCACAATACTTACGTGCGCCCACACGTCGAATATGCCATGCAAGCTCGGCAATCTTAGTTGAAGCGCGACCTCAAGGTTTGAAAACACCGCAACAAAGCGAAATGTAGAATGTCAAATGTCTATGCAATCAACCTCCACCACAATGAGGCTGGACCTTAACGTGGTGCGATGGTTTGCGTGTCTCAGCGATCCATTGAGCTATGCTGGGTGGTGCTTCTTTGAACCTTCAGATCCACTCATACCAGATTAGTCAATGGTTAGAGGCCAGACGAACTCAGCCTCCTGGTACTCCAGGTTGGGGGTGGGGATGAGGGTGGCTCCTTATTCCTTATAACGGACTTCTTGTAGCCCACTGCCGAGCCCGTTGCCTCGCGATCAGGTTTTGGAACCAAAGGCTTTGGTTAAGAACCCTAATCGTTCTCCTGTCTAGGCCTGGCCAACCTAACAGTATCCTGCCCACGCAATACACAATGACCTTTTCCTCTAACAATTGCTTGATGCTCTGGCCGTCGCTGAGGGTAATCAACGGCGCCCTATCTGCTGCATCGAGCAGAGTGGATAGGGGTTTGGATGCTACTGCTCAACCCTTCCCACCTTCTTATTCGCCATCTTACGCCTGTTTACACTTATCGCCTCGTTCCAACTTTCAATATTACCCCTCCCCCGTTTTCAACCCCCAATTCTTGGCCCTCCCCCAGCTTGCTTTGATAGGCGTTTATTTTCTTGCTTCAGCTCACATGTAAACGCGGAGCGTCACTCCTGCCCTGTCGACAAGCCCATGTCCAACCAAACGGTCAGGCCCAGTTCATCGGCTTCTATTTGGAGCCCCCGATCCTCCCACAGATTGGCATGCCTCAACGTACGCACATTGTTACAGATCGGTTAACAGGTAGCAATTACGCGAACATTAGAGACCATCTCGATCGATATCTACTGCCTATCAGAAACCTCCCTACAAGACCTGAGCTCTGTTCTCACTCTGCTATCTCCTTCAGGTAAAACTAGCAGTACTTCCTCATTGCACCTATCCGGAGACGATGCAGCTTCGAGTACCGGCTAAGCCGGTGTTGGTATTGCTCTGACTCCTTGGGCTGAAGCTGCTCTCGTTGACTGGATCCCAATCAGTAGCCGGATGTGTGCGGTCCGACTGGCTGGCTCGTTCAAAGCTTCAAAGTCGCGCAGGGTTAATAGGTGTCTGTTTGTCAACGCTGCCTATGCACCCACAAACTGTAGCGATGACTCGGTAAAAGAGGACTTTTATCGTCAGCTGAACGAGCTCCTTCGTCACGGAAGAAGCACAGACATTGTTGTACTTGCTGGGGATCTGAATGCTCAAGTTGGGAAATTGTCAACTGATGAGCTGTATCTGGGCGGTCAACATGGTTAAGGCTCCCGTAATAATAACCGTGAGCGGTTATTTTACTCGTGTGAAGATACTCGCTTATTTATTTCGAGCACTAACTTCCGACACAGCACTCGTCGGAAGGTGACATAGCGCCCACCAAGCTCGAACCAGTAATGGACGCAAATCGATCACATTGCGATCAGTTATCGCTGGAGAGGCTGCGTGCAGAACTGTCGCTGGGTTTGAAGCACATGGGTGGACACTGATCATGCATTTGTATGTACTGATCTGCGGTTGCGTTTTGGCGGTCGCCCTTGACGACGCTGTGAGCGCATAGATACCAGAAAACTAGCGAAGCCGCATCGAAGTATGCTGGCGTTCGGGTTGAGCAAGCGCCCACTATTTACAGTTGTAGGTCACTGGTCGCATGTTCACCAGACCTTACGAGAAGCAGGTAAATAATCATGTGATAAATGCACTAGCTAAAATCGATACTGAGTCTCTTCGCAGTCCCTGGAACTTATCGATGCTCGCCGGCACATTTCGGCTGGAAGCGAACATAACGGAACTCGCAAAGACGTCAGGGCAAAACTCCGTACTAGCCTGAAGAGAGCGCGAATCCCGGTGGTCTCTTCGTGCGTCAGAGATGGAAAGGGCCGCTGCCCTTGCTAACTATCGAAAGTTATGCCGTCTGCTACGGGAAAGCGACAGCAGAAGACCTGGCGTTAGTGAAACAATACTTCACGAGAGTGAACAGCCTATTCACAACTTGTCAAAATGTTTGGAGCGTTTGGCCGAGTATTTGGAAAAGCAATGTAATCGGCCGGAATTGTTAGATTCCTCACCACCAGTGATCGCCCTGCTCCCTGGGCTGTCCCTTTGGATCTATCCTCTCGCTCAGAAGTCGAATGTGAGATCAGACTGTTGAAGTTGAATAAAGCAGCGGTACTAGATGATCTTCATCCAGCCATTTTCAAGTTCGAGGGCCCAGCTTTTGTTGATGATTTACACTAATTACTAGTGAAACTGTGGGAACAGGAAACTGTCCCAACCGACAGAGCCGTTCCGTTATTGTTCCGATCTTCAAAGGAAGCTCGCGTTCGGAAAAGGGTATCCATAGAGGAATCAGTCTGATCCCCATCGCCTCCAATTTGCTTGCCTCTGTAATCCTTCCTAGACTGACTGGCACTCATGAAAACTAGATTCCTGAGGAGCAAGCAGGGTTTCGTCGTGGTCGGGGATGCATCGACCACATATTCATATTACGTCAGTGGTTGGAGCACCGTCACATATATTGGCGGCCCACCGTTGTCGTGTTCCTCGACATCAAAGATGCCTTCGATTCAGTTGATCGACGTGCTCTTTGGGACTATCTGCTAAGAAAAGGTGTGCCCAAGAAGTATGTAAATATTATGCGAGCGCTTTACGCGCGTAGCTCGGGCAGAGTGAGAGCTTACGGCAAGCTGTCGCCGCCTTTTAGTATCTTCAGCGGTGTGAGACAAGGTTGCCCGCTGTCACGTTTCATTTTCAACTTCGCTATTGACCAAGTCATGGGAAGCGCGCCCACTGGACACGAATTAGGTGTGGAGCTACTCCCAGGAGAACGACCTCTTGACTTGGAGTATGCTGATGATATTGCCCTCATCTGTGACAGCTCCAGACGTACCAAGCTGCACTAGACAGATTAGCACTGGCTGTCACCCGTTTCGGGCTATGCTCTGCACTTTCGAAGTACAAAGCTTTCCCCTAAGATTGGCATGAACCGATTCCTGCGCTGACCTTTGATGGGGATCAGCTAGAAGTCGTTCAAAAGTTCAACTACATAGGTAGTTGTATCAGCGCCATTGGAATTGAAAAAGAGGTCACAAACCGTATATAAAAAGCACGAGGCGGTTTTGCTAACCTTCACCACCTATGGCGCGGCTCGAAATCACTCTCTCCCTGAAGGGTAGAGTGTACAATGCAGCGGTACGTTCGGCCCTACTGTACGGTTGTGAAGCCTGACCCGTTAGATCAGCCGGCATAAAGAGGCTAGTTACGTTCCACCACCGGTACCATCGCAGTTTGGCTCATATCTGGTAGGACCACCGTGTGAGCAATGTGCGTGTTCGACGCGTTGTTCATGGAGCAAGAAGAAGAAGCGAGTCCTACAGCACCGTTATTTCACGCACCATGCTCCTGTGGCTCGGCCAAATGTCACGCATGCCAGCCCACCGACTCGCGCGATGTGCGTTGTTTGCACGCCGGGGGTGCGGATGAAAGAACAGGAGAGGTGGCCAAGTGATGACTTTGTCGAGAGGAATGAAGGCCCTTACTTCGAAGTTGGCCTCATTTGGAGCCTCTCGGCTCCCTGGTCGGGGACCGAAGGACAATGAACACGCTTGGCTGGATAGACTTATTGACATGCCTAGGAACTGACCTTAATGCCGTTTGTGTTGTGAGTTTCTTTGTCCCTCCCCCATCCGCTTAGCCTTTCCTTCCAACCACGATCTTAAGTATTAGGCATAATATGACATTTTTCGGCACAATAGCCGGCTGTTGGCTCTCCGGCACAATGTCCATCCGTTACTGGGGACTCAGCCGGCGTGCCCCTGTTGCATGTCTTCTTTTCTAATGTATTGCGGCACAATAGGTGAGGTGCTCTCCACCTGCAGCATACGTGTATAATGCTATTGATGATGATGCAACTATTCTTGCCAGCAAATGCTAAATTTAATGAGAGTTTACAGCGGACGTTACAGATGGCGATGCGGTGGTCTCATATTATTGTATCAAATATTGGGTGACCCCAACCACGTATGTTGCCATTTGCCGAAACTCAGGCACAACATCACCTCAGGAGTAACTGCCTGAAACGGAGTGAACATTACAGTCGTCTAGAGTGTCGACGGAATCCCTTTTCGCATCGGATTTGCCAACCATGGAACCCTCTCCCAAACGCAGTTTTGTCCTCCCCTACCTCGGATAGCTTCAAAAAAGCGATTGGACAGTGTTTTTAGCTCCCAACACTTTGCTACCTAAGCTGTGCAACTGTGGAATATCTCAATCATACCCTCATACCAGATTTATATATCAAGTGAACTTGAGGCGATATATAAGTGAGTCGTGGACTCTTGTATTTCCACGTGATTGCTTTATGTGCACAGTTGCATATGGTTCAACCAAGTTACTGTGGCCCATGGCGACCCAGTAGGACCAAGTTTAATGTAACTTGGGACACATTTCGCATCAGCCCTTAACACAATCATATAGTTGGTATATGAGTTCATCAATCTCAGTATATCGTTCAAGTAGAAGATCCCATGACTGGATCTTAGCGTTGCTTTCCTATTCAGTGTTAGGTGACTATTTAAAGCAAAATGACCACGAATTTTCGCACACAATATAAATCTTGTGTATTTGGACAATCTGATATCATCCGGAAGCACGTTAGTGGTGCTTCTCGACTGTCACGCTGGGGTCTCAAGGAGGATGAACACATTTGGTTGGACACACTTGCTAAGATGTCGAGGAGCCTGTCCCAATGGTGTTTGTGTTGTGAGTTCCCTTGTCCATCCCCTCCCGTTTAGATACGCCCTCGAATCCCAATCTCATACAAAACGCATAATATAATATTTAAAACCATATTACTTTCTTGGAATCCATTTTTAAAATGTAAAATTTTTAGTCGCTTATCTTTTTGTATTGTGGTACATTGGCTGTGGTATGTTTCTCACCCTCACCTAAAGTGTACTGATGATGATGATAATGATGATTGATTATTATTATTATTATTATTATTATTATTATTATTGATGATGATGATAATGATGATGATCCAAATGGTTGATCAGCAATGTCTATGGTCGGAGCGCACGTACACGATTGGTCCACGCTGACCTCAACAATGTATGGAGGAATATGGTCAGACCTCGTTGTGGCAGAGGATGAACAGTCTTGTACCAATGAAACTTAGCTCGATAAACAGGACCAAGTGTGAGGCAGCATAAACTGATGCACGGGTGTTCTAACCTGCGTAGGGGCAGGGCGACCCTCGAATTATCATTAGCACACGTGCGACCGGTATTGGTTGCGCGGCAGCGAAGCGTCGATACCGCGTACCGGCGTACTACTGATGCCTTTTGGGGTCAATAGACTTGGATCCCTAACCTGAAACGTTCCTAGCGGCGGGTGTCTGCAGATCGCGGTGAAAGATGCAATGTAAAGGCAAGCGAACGATCAGCTACCAACCTTTAGTCGGTATCATGATTGATCATCAGCGGCTAATAATACCCTCAGTCATGTGCTGAATAATTAACACATCAAGGCCGGGCTATGTGCTAACTGTGTAACCGCCGAGATGATGGAAAAACGTTTAAGGAGTTGATGCAATCGCGGAAATAGTTTTACATGTACTCACACCGTAAATTACTCCATCGTATTCGGTTCTGAACTCGATAAGCCACATGTCCCCATCGTCCTGCACGTTGATTGGTCGGTCTAGCCGGCTGAATGACAACTGCGGCTTGCAGGTGATGGAATAGGTTGGCTCTCGAGGCCACTGAGGGAACGTAGGCAATACAGCACGTGGGGTCAACATGTCTGTGGTGTATTTGTTTGGCAAAGAACCGGTCCCGATGAAGTCGTACTCGTTCCAGTAAAAGTTGCGGAATTCTCCAATAAACCTCGGTGGAGGGGGCAGAGACTTGACATCCGCTGTGGGAGGCGAAGGTCGAGCATAATTCGGCAGGCCTGTGCTGCCAAGATAAATCTGTTGCGCCACCAGCTTGAACGTCTTCAGTTGACTTTGTAGAGGAATTTTTCCTACAGATAGAACGAGTGAACGCAAACATCACCTTGTTTGATAAAGGATGAGTCTATGATGTTTTGGTATCAAAGTGCTTTCAGGCAGAATTACCTATGCTTTCCGTCCTCCCATCGACTGAAAAGGTCAAGTGTTCCGCCCGACGTAGTATACGTAGTGTGTGCCATTGATTATCGTTTAACTGTGTGCCGGTTGAGAAAAACTCCTGTTAGGATGTAGAGAAAGGTAGACAAGTAATTGCACCTTTATGAATGGGCAAGATTTGACCCAAAAACGGCAAACCAGAGATGGAAATGGTAATAACAGGTTCATCATTCCAGTGAAACAGAATATAAGAACAAATAAATTTGGAGGTTCTGCGAGGGCAGAAGTTGGTACGGGGTGAATTAAAGCGTGCTATGGAAACGGCGAGCCCTTGTGTAATGAGCAATTAAACTGGGAATTCGGTACAATAGGGCGAAACGCGTGTGGCGCTTTTCCGGACTAGGCTCTGCTATGTAGGTTGTGAACTATCAGAATTACCACTAAAATCCTGCTACTCGTGAGCAACATAAAATAGAAATAGCCTCTCCTAGTTTCAAATGCTATGGATATAGCGTCCAGTGAGAGGACGTCATCACCTCGCAGGCTAACCACTGTCAGTGACAGTGGTAGATAGGTGGTGCTATATCCCAGTTAGTTTGCAAATTATGTAGCCGAGCCAACGTCCCCCATGGCTCAGTGGCTTAAGCTGCTGGCTAGTAGGCATTTGCCTCTAGCGGTCATGGGTTCGATCCTCCTTAGAGGACCGAGGGAATGCGTGCCACTGACGAGCCCCAATAGGGCGAAACGCGTCTGGCGCTTTTCCGGACTAGGCTCTGCTATGTAGCTTGTGAATTATTGGGATGAAAGCCTTATCAGAATTACAAATTGATTTGTTGCGTGAATGGGACATCCAATAAATGAATGAATAAATAAGTCGGCTGATGCGCAACCAACCCAACAAGATGTGAGAGTAGGGATAAGTGGAAGATTCAATCAACAGCATATGGGGAGAGTGGGCAGGCGCATGAAATGTTGCTTAACCGAATTGCGCCTCAGTTATGTGACTTCAAGGACGATTCAATGGGTAAATTCACGAAGAAGGTAGAGGTAGGAACAAAGCGGCGGCGAGTAAATCTAATAACTATTGTACGTCATAGATTAAATAACCCGATGTATGAGTGAACCTCATGTAGGTGAGTGGATCTAGCAGGTGCGCATTCGCGATGGAAGAATGCGCAGTCAAACAGATGAACAAGTGAGTAGTACTCGATCATTTTGTACTCAATGAAAACAGACTTCATGCGGGTTGAACAAACCTCAGTTTTTACTCTGTTGTCTGGATGGTTGATATTCGTTTGGATGCGAATGAGCCCACCTATCAAGTCAACTCTGAAAAATGACTTGTCGGCCGGTGAGACAGCATAGAACAAGGGGACGGTGCTCTGTTGAGTTCGGAACTGAAGACTGATATCGTCGGTATGAGTAGTCAGAGTGTTGCTCCCACGCTCGAAGTCGATCAGTAGAGCCATTTCTCCATCCATGTCCAGCACCGGAGAGTCTTGGGGCATGGAAAATGTGAAAGACCTGTTAGGAACCCTATGAAACAGCTAATTGCACGGTGGAAATTATAGAATGCGCCACCTTCTATTACTAATAAGCAACAACCCAAAAAAGGAAGGCATTCCTGAAAATAGGCGTGTGGGAAACTTGCATAGAAATTACCCATAACCTAGGTTGACTAACTATAATCAGTGCGTAAAAATGGCAAGCCAAGAGAGCTCGCCTAACCAGGTGGACAATGAATGGCTCCAGTAACCATCGAAAAACCCCATCGTCGAACATGAAGTGTGTCCCACAACACCTGGTATTTGTGTTTTCAAAAAACCATGCAACATAATGCTTACCAAAGCACCGCATTCGGATAGTTAAGAGCTAAGCTGGTACCCTAGGTGATCGGTCATTTGTAGACGCCACTGAGCTGATGAGCTATGCAACAGACTATTTATTTCAGGTAGCCCTGTGTTTTCGTCTACTTTGTGTGTCGTGAGGGAACCACGTACCGCTTCACAATCCATATGCATTAGAGAGGTATACGTTTAATAGACACCGCTTCCGTTGTGACAGTTGTAATGCTACTTCAATGAAACCATTCCTTCGGTGCACTGATGAGCGAGGTCCTTTCAACAGCTCAAACTTGCGACACCAGCGCAAAATTGCCACGCAATACAACACTCGACTGGATTGCCGAAGTGTGTTTTCTCTCCTCGGGAATCCCGAACAAGAATCGCATTGCCAACTCACGTCAATTTCGCCTCTACATTGACACTTTTCAGAAAAACACCCCGACGAACGCTGTCCCATTTGCATTACGTGGTGTAGTTCGTTTCAATCGGAAAAGGAAATAATGCCAAGTAAACAGTATGCCTATCAGCCTTCTCCGTAACACAGCGGTGAGGAGGTCAACATGTGATTAACTTGGTGAGTCACTCTAAACCCGAATTTTCCCTTTCCTTCCCGTCAGCTTTTAACTTTGGTTGTAGAACCCTCACTCGTGTCATCCTACGGGATTTGTCAAACACGCATCCATTTTTACCCGTTATTAAATCATTGTCCATTGTACTACCAGTCCAGTAAAAGGTGGTGCAACTGCTTAGCAACTAATAGGTAGGTTTCGGGCTTGCATCTTATCTTGGACGCAGCGTCGAAGTTCCCTTGTAGAAACTATTCAGTTGACGGAGGACAAGTTTATAAGCAGACCAAAGTTGACCTCGTCCCATTCCAAGTGCCTGCTCTAAAAGCCACAGGCTGAATTTACTTACGTTTTGATGTCCATTGTTAAGAGGAATGTACGTCCCCACAAGATCGCATACGTCGACATACGTCGTGCACAGCACCCTGTCCTCGGTCTAGGTGTCACCTACATTCAGACGCGTTAGCCTACGATTGTCCTGTCTGGAGAACTCAAACAGCTGTATCAGCGTCCAGAATCTCTCTCTGTGTGTGGTCGATTCCTGCTCACAACTGCCGATCGAGATGTCCTCCCTGTCTGTCTTCGGCAAGCCGCATTGCGTCAGTTCTATTCTACTCACCCTGGCACGAGTAGAATAAAGGCGATAAATCGCAGCTAGGTCTATTGGTCCGACATCGCTAGCGACATCGAAGACCTGGTACGTCGTTGCTCTCGATGTCAACAAGCGGCCAAGATGCCACAAAGGTAGCCGCCAGTACCCTGAAAACCAGCGGACAAGCCGTTGTCGCCCATACTGATCGAATACGCCGGCCTAATCAACGGCATTTACTGCCTGGTCCTCGTTGATGCCTGTTCCAAATGGGCTGAAGTCGTGCCCATCAATCTCCCGACCACAACTTCCAGACTATCATGTCTCCACCGAATCTTCAGCCAACACGAACTCCTAGATGTTTTAGTGCTCGCTAATATATTCAGTTTGCGTCTTCACTGTTAGGAGATTTTTGTCTCCAATCCCTGTCCCCCCCATCCTCAGCCAAACAGCCAAGTCGAGTGTTTTATCGGCGTCTTCAAGAGAGTATTTTTGAAAGCTCGTGGGGAGTGGACAATGAACGAATGCATCCAGGTGTTCCTCTTCACCCACAGGGCCACACGAATATTCAGCATTGCCTGGAGGACAATCTTCGCCTGAAGCACTGATGGGCTGGGAGTTTTGCACAACTCACGAAGCACTGGTCCCTACCGGAAAGCCGTTAGTACAACCTATTGCCCTCAACCGAGAATAGCGTTCGCCAGACAACTTTTCTCGCTCTATTTGACAGGCCAGTTTGCATCATTCATTGTTTTGTGCAGAACAGATTTTGCGTGTTTATCCTTGTCAAATTCAGCTTCTTTTGCGATACCGAATTTGTTTATTGTGTATTAGTTTCCTGTCAGTATATTTTACTCTGGTATTTGTATCGTGTACTCATGGTTCACATCTGCTAAGCTATCAGTAATGACGAAACTGACTCCCTGTGGTATTTGTTACAAAATAGTTGGGTATAGAGCCAATACCGTTACATGCATTATGTGTGGTGTGCATTTCCACATTTCGTGAATTGGTTTGTCTTTAGATCGTTTCAAACTACTGCGTGAAATTCAGCTTGACTTCGTCCAAATATTGTGCAAGAAATGCCAAGGTACTGTGCAGTCACAAAATACCGAGAAGCTGTGTGAGCGTACAAGACAGGCGAAACATTCCATAGAGAGGAGCTCTGTGGGTTTATCCAAGCAAACGGAAACTCAGCCCCCTCCATGTCCGAATGAGCTCACCTGCCCACTGGCTGCAGGCTCTCCAGAGCGATGTCCAACCGTTGCTGCAGACTCAGCTGGCGTGCCTATGTTGAGTCCTACGGCCACTAACATACCGGTGTGCGATAGCGCAGGCGACGAAGGCCAATGGAGGATGTATCGAAGCAAAAAGGAGAGCACAACTGCCAGCAGTCAGCGGCGTTGTAACCTTAGGATATTTCACATTCTTGAGTCGACGAATTCTAATCCTGAGGCTCGTTATGACCAAGACATGGCTTTTCTACGGGGTCTGGTTGATAGGCTTCTCGACGTGAATGAACAGGGGTTGTGGGTGAAGCAAATCACCTGTCTTAGAGAGAGTGTGGAGGGAAAGTCCTGGCCTCTGCGAGTCACGTTTGTTGATGAAATGATTCCGAGGCTGGTGCTATCACGCCTCGGTAGGCTGAGGTCTTAGGATCCATATTCGTCCCGATTTTGGTCCGTCGGACAGAGAGAAACTGAGGTCGGCTATCGTGGAGTTGAAGCGGCAGACTGATAGTGGAGAAACCAATCCCAAAATTGTAACGTTTCGGGCAGTTCCCCGGGTCCGCCGAACCCGGATCAACAGGTCAATGATGCTTCATGCGAGTCTGCCGATTCCTACCGCGGTCCGCGCGTAGCCTGCACAAAGGTCTGTAGTTTAATGAACAAACTTGATGATGTACTTCACTTCGTTGCCCCACGTCGTCCGGACGTACTAGGACTAGCCAAAACCAGGTTAAATCCTGAGGTCACTACCCAGGAAGTCCAGATAAGTGGCTACCCGTGCTTCCGGTGCGACATACTATCAAACGATCGAGGCGGCGTGCTGTTATACATTCGGTCTTCGCTGTGCGGGAAACTAGTACACACCTACCGTAGCGAAGATGGTCTGTGCGAACAGTTATGATGCTCAATCCGCCTGAGACAGGGTGAACTGTTTGTGGGTGCGGCTTATCGCAACCCGCGAAGTCGTTGCCTGGATTGGTTGCCGCATGTCAGAAACTACAAGAGTCAGCCCAGCTTCCTGCTTATGGGTGATTTTAACTTTCCTCGAATCCGGCGGCCTGAGGTTCAACTTTTCCACAGGCAATGTGAAATCGAGACGCAGTTTGCGGAGATAGTATTTGAAACTGCGGCTGTACAACGTGTCTGCCAACTGCCGCAAGTTACACCGCATTCCGCTCCATCGTGCCTGGACCTATTACTAACGGGTTGCAAGCAAGGTGTACATGAAATTCAGGTCCTGGAGCCTCTGGCAGTTAGCGATCACTCGATGGTGCTAGCCAGCCTAGAGCTACCGCTGCCCTACTCGTGTTCGCCGAAGCCGTCCTATGATTATTGGAAGACCGACTTCAATGGCCTAAATCCAGCCGCCGGTGAAGTGGACTGGTTGCTGCGGCATGGTTCATCTGTTGAAGCCTATTGGTCTGTTATCAGAGGGCGTGCAATCGTTAGTCGCAAGTTTTGTACCTCCCAAATATGAGAAACCTAGACCAGTGAAGCCACACTGGTTCAACAAGGAGCATAGTCAGTTGGCTCGACGGTGATGCGAATTGTGGAATAAATTCTTCGTATCTGGCTCTGCTGACAATTAGGATGAGTACAAAAGGCAGCGGAATATATGTAACAGGGCAAAAGCGCGAAAGCGTCGGCAGTTCGAAGAGCAGCTTGCAACCTCAGCGAAGACGGCCCCCAAGAAGATGTTTACTTACATGAAGCGGCGCCTGAGGCCCGCAAGTGACGTAGCTGTGTTAGAGGGAACTGACGAACAGCCTCTGACCTCCAATACTGAACATGCGTCCGAGTTGGCGGAGCCTTTCGCTTCCGTACATACAAGTGGGCATGCGCCTAAGCCGAGGTTGACGTGTGCAGCCCCTACTGAACTCGAGGGCCTGGGTTGCGGTGTAGAAGATGCCGCAGTCTACTCGCCAGTCTTGACGGCACGAAACCTGCCGGACTCGGTGAACTTGCGCCGCAAATTTTGAAGGCCTTATCGGCCATCATCGCGCCTGCCGTGACGGATCTGTTCAACAGATCGCTGTCCGAGGGTGCATTACCGAGCGACTGGAAATGCTCGATAGTAAAGCCGATTCCAAAGGGTGGTGACCCACGCAATGTGAACAATCACCGGCCGATTTGTCTCACCCGTTTTGGCGAAGATGCTCGAGAAGATTGTGAAAAAGGGTCTTTTCCAGCTTCTGGAATCAAAAGACTTCTAAAGCCGGCACGGCACGACTACATGAAGGCCGCTCGTGCATCAATAACCTGCTGTTGATGTGGCAAGAGTGGTTGCAAGCATTGAATCGGGGAAGTCAGTGGATGTTATCTACATTGATTTCAGTAAAGCTTTCGCTAAAGTGAATCATGAGGTCATGCTCCACAAGCTTAGGATGTGTTGGTGGCGCAGTGCACCAGTGGATCAGTGACTTCCTTATTGGAAGATGGCGGGTTTATGTGGATGACCACCTAACGGAATGGTACTCGTCCACTAGCGGCGTACACCAAGACATAGCACTGGGCCCATTTTATTCCTGATCCACATCAACGAAGTAATTTAACTTCTTCGGTTGCCCTGCGCATTATTTGCGGATGACCTGAAGGTTTGGAGGATTAATGATGCTCCCGGCGATTGTGCCCTCCTCCAGCAAGGCCTCGACCGCTTATCCTGGTGGTCTGCAGAAGCTGACCTACTGGTCAGCACAGCCAAGTCCTCTTTTATGAGTCTGGGGAGGGGTAGTAGTGGGCGTGCGTGCAACTTGGCCGGCAACCCGCTGGATCCCACCAGTTCCGTAAAGTGTTTAGGCGTAGTCTCACGCTGTGATCTGAAGTCTGTCTACAACACGAACAGACAGTACGCAAACGGACTACGCCTACTTTGTGCACTTAGACGCAACTTCTGAACTTGATCTGAAGAGAAGAAGAGCTGTCAGTTCTCTTCCAAAATAAGACCGGTGCTTGAGTGTGGCTTACCCGCATGTTGCCCAAGCACCATAGGTGGGGTACAGAGACTGGAACGGGTCCAGCATGTAGCTACCCAGCTCATCCCCAGTTTACGGGATATGTCGTACGAGGACCGGTGTAGCAGACTAGGGCTTTATATCCTGTCATATCGTCGGCTTCGAGTTGACCTCACTTCCTTAGGTTGAAGCTGCTGTTGCACGTTCGAGCACCAGACAGCACACGCTGACACCGGTACAAATTAGTGGTCCAGGATTTAATGCACATCGCTCATCATCTAGGCTTCGAGCGTCAAGTGGTGAAATATTGGAACAAAGTGCCGGAGACGCTAGTCGAGGCGAAATCGGTGTCGGAATTTAAGATATTCCTTGAAGTCTACTTTGCGGACTACATGTACAGGGAATATGTCTCACACGGATTAGATGCAGTGCAGCTGCAATATGGTGCCACGGCGCAGGAATCAGAGTGGTGATTCCGCGCAAGTGCCCAATCCACCTAGGATGGAGTAACACAGATTTTTATCTCCTCACTCTCTATTCTCAGTATTCACTATCCACTATTCATCTCTTGTGACTACTGGGCTGTTAACTCACACTGTATCGAGGTCATAATGACTGACAATCGTGGTAGTGTGTTGCATGATGTCACTGTGGGAGATGCCACTTGATTCCCCCACCGGAACCAACGTTGACCGCGATGTAGAACGATCCATGAGTAGGCCAAGTGGTCTAAGCACTTGCCACTGCACATACAACTCGATACATTCAGAACTACAGTGCGACAGCCGGAAGTTGCACAACCAAAAGCACACCTTAGATGTCCTAGCCGTCGGACAGAACGTATCCGCCAAAGGAGCCAAATGCTACAGTGCAATCCTCAACAAAAACGAGTTGTTCAAAGATGAAGGGGAGATGTTATGGGGAGCGCTCATTGCATAAGATTGCCAACGCCATGTCCCCCAGTAAGCGACAACACCGCTTAGTCACTTGTGGCACAGACTTGGGTCGATGTGAACCCACATATTACTCTAAACCACCTCCTCCTCACTTTGTCTGTGAAGACTGTGCAATGCGATAGTTGACATACATCACCAGCCTCGTGATATGGTGGAGGCTATGCATCTTTATACTCGCCTTTTACCGGTCGTAAAAACACTGTATCTGTCTATCTCTTGAGCTTTTGTGCAGCAGCAGTGTTGCAGCCCTACGCTAAGATTCAAATTTTTTTAATTTGAAAGTGTAACAAAATGCTGAAACGTTAAAATGCCATAACATCATGTCCAAGATCCCCCATGACAGTCTCAGTAGCGCTTTTCTTCATAATATCACCGATTCACTGGGTGTTTTAATACAAACTCTCAGCTTGCGAAATAGTGCTAAGTGGTGTAGTAGTGTGCGTCAGGTTCAAGGTTCTGAGGGTTTCCGTGTCCGTGACTTACGTGGTTGTAATAGACAGGAGGGACTGAAAAGTGAAGCAGGTAACTCGTAGGCGGCTGTGCAGTTTCATCACAACCACCTAGTAAGCGTGCGAGCTGGATGAGGGATGCGCCTGACTTACACCTCGTGGCCAGCTCGACGGCGTCGTCAGAGCTGTCGATGGGGACCGACTCTGAGGTGACTGAATGATAATGAAAACATGCAAGACAGATGGTATCCATCCGACACTAAAGACGAAATGGGAAGGCAGAGAAGTGGAAATGACGATGGGATTTTAGGCAAAGCTCGACGACATCTTAACGTTTGCCTTGCAATCTAGACACTGACGCGATACAAGTTTTGAGCGTTGGATTTGCACGCGCGCTGGCGAACGCGTGGGAACCAGTTCCGACAAGACCACGCCAGTCGCTTCGCGGATAGAACTAGCGGGGATCGACCCATTCATTCCGACTAAGCTAGATGTTACCATTTGGCCGTTATCCCATTTTCCGTATACTGTGTTAGCTAAGCTAAAATACAGCCTATGTAAAATTGCCTAATCGACGTGCATAATTGTAAGAGTACTATCCCCTAGGGAACTACACATTGTGGATCCTTTGACGTCAGCCACCGTGAAATATAATACCTGGCTGCCAATTTATTTGAGAAGTGACACAGCAGCGCATAAGTGAAAACACAAATTACAAGCAACAACAGAGGTATGTGTGAAACAGTCTCCATGCGAAACCCGTGAATACTGCGTCCCTCCGTTGGTACTTGGATACACAGAGGCAAACAACACCAACTCTGTCAGTTCTAAACTCCACCTCTAGAATGGTAACACGATTGCAGCCAAGCTGAGGAAAGATTTGCATACTAATGATTTGTTCGATCAAACTACCTGCTGTCCAACTGTACAACTATGTAATATCACTCTTCCGCATAACCTACTTACCCCGGAAGCAAGCTTCGGATCTTCGGATGTCCGTAACGCCTTCACGGAAAGTCTTGTCTGAGCCGCTACAGTCACATGCATAATTCAACGGCTCGAAGAACGGGTACGAGCGCTCCGCACATTGGCCACCACCGCAAGTTTCGCGCGTGCATCGACGGTCCGGAACTCGACATACACCAAATTGAATACCGCGGCTCACATCAGTGTGTTGACTCATTCGGCTTTTGTGGGAGAAAGAAGAACGGCATAGGTAAGTGTTACCATGGGTCATTTTGTAGCGAGCACGCAGTGACGGGGCTGGGCTTATGTGCTCCACTGCACATCACTACTTGAAAAGAAAGTTTGTATTTCAGTAATGTTTCCTATCCAAGAACTACTGTCAGTTTGTGGGCAAAGAAAAACGGTGAGTTTTCCGCAAAAGGTTTGTACATTGTAATGATGAGCCGGTTTGTATATCATGTTCCAGGATGGTTTGTGATGGCCAGTATGCCCCACAGGCATTTCGGTTAGCCGGGTGACAACAGAACTCGACCACAATCAGTGCGTCTATTTCTGATTTCGAAGGTGTGGTAACTGTGCAATTCATACTGCGAACCAGTTGCAAATTCGAGTTGGTTCGTTCTATTCGCTCTAGGTAGGGATCATTAATCGGCATGCCGAACCTTTGTGATTCCTGTCTGCCCATCTTACCAGTACCGATAGCTCGCGATAGCAGGTGGGCTTTGTTGGTTACTTGTGCAAAGAATGGTCTATCAACACGAGTGGTTTGCGCCACTAACCAGCAGCGTTTTTCCCAAGCGCAAGGGTGATGACCATGATTTCATGTGCTGTTGGAGCCGAGGGATAAGCAACACTGACGAGCCTCGAGAAAACGAGACGTCCGTCTAGCACGTTTTTGGCTATGGCGAAGAATCCGCACTTATTTACATGGGAAATCAATGACTGACAAGTGACAGAGATGGAAATAAGGTCACCGGAAATCGATTGTTGGTCAATTATTTTCATATTGATGCCTTACGCGCCACCATGGTAGGCTTAGTGTCACTACCAGCTGTTTTTAAACACGGAATGGTGGGCGCTGGCGATCGGTAACGATGTTCTAGAGGGGCTTGAGGATGTGGGGCCTTTGCTTGCGCATTGGGATTTATGTGATGGCTGGTTTACATCAACTGCTTTGGAACCGCTGTGGCGACCTAGCTTCTTGATTCACCTGGTGCAACCGTCGCGTGTCCCGCCTGTTTGCAAAGACGCTTTGGAATGTATTCATTGATTCGGACACCTGGATCTCAATCAGTGCGCCCACGGTAAGTGTCTCTGCAGCTACGTGTGGATTTATTAAGCAATGGAACGTGCGTTCATTGAACACCTAATCAGTGGTTTTGTGGACACGAGCAAGTGTAGCTCTGGTGTTCAGAGAGGTTTGGAAACAATCTGGCATGCGCATTCTTATATGACGATGAACACTAGTCGATTGTTTTCAAACCTCTCTGAAATTATGACTACTCGATCGGTTCCAAATAGCTTCTAAAAATTCGTAGCTCTGGTGCGTTGTACAACTTTTTCATTGAGGTGCATATTCGTTTCCCGATGACTCATGAGATGGTCCTCATGCGCAAAGACCCGACATTCTCAAGCCCCTTGAAGTGATTGCTATGGATCGACAGCGTCCTCCACCTTATGTTCAGAAACAGCTGGCAGTGACACTAAACGTGTCATGGAAGCGTGTAACGCATCAATCAGAGAACAGTTGACATCATGTGACCTTATTTTACTCCCCTTGTTATTTGTGTGTACGTGGCCGAAGACTATGCACGAAATGGCAGCGTCACACCACATTTCTCGTCTTCAGATCCAAGCAAAGAATTGGTTACCGACTGACATCGTTGTTAAGACTCGGATTGGCGAACTGGGAAATTATCACCTCGGAGTTTTCTATCTACTCATTGGTGTGGTTTAAGATTCTGATATTAAACCGGCGTGATGTATGGAAGCTTTGCTCCCATGCAATCACTACTGATCACGTGTAGGTTAGAGGTATTTGGGGCCGCTCCTACCTATGCATGTTTGAGTTGGTGAGCTTCGGAATATAAGCCAGAAGTCTGGACCACTCGACAGCATTCAGAGCAATGTGTACTAATGGGGGATACATTCAAAATGAGAGGACGCTCACGCGGGAGGAGTGCACTCTGCTTAACTTTAGTCAGCTGCAAGGAGTGCATCTGAGATTAAAAACACACCAATGACCCGGTAGCCAAAGGAGTAGAGGTTTCGGTGACTATTCTAATGGCTGTGGTTTCGAGGCCTGCTATCCTCACCTGATGAGAGCAAATCAGATCGAAACTCGTCGTGGTTGTGCTGTGGTTTCGGGCGGGCAACACCCAATTTCCATCTGCTTCGGCTACGGTCCCAGTGATCGCAGTGACCAAGGTAGGTTCACTTCAATGTGAATCCCGGTCAACATATAGATTGCGTGTCGAAATACAATCACAGAACGTGTGCTTGAAAATGCCCCCCCCAAACATCAATTAATTGTCTTGTCAGGGACAGGTGAGCTAAGTTCACCTCTAGGTTAGTGTTTATCGTCATATAAGAATGCGTATGCTTGAAGTAAGCTTGATGAAGACACACGTACACCACTGCAGCGTTTCACCTCCAAAAGGCCGAGAAAAGGAACACGGTTGCTAAGGTGAATATAACTTCAGGCAGAGAATATGGCGCGGGGTAGTGAAAGTCACAAAGAAGCTGTCTCGCTGATGTCGTCTTTGCTTTACACGATAGTAATCTCTTCATGACGGTAGGTTGTTGACAAGGTGTAGATGCATAAGCCCTGAGTGTTTGCTTATGCCAGGTCCCACTTCTCTCCATGTTTTCATTCGTCGTCCCTTATGTCACCGTGAGTGACGGCAGTGAAGCATCACTTCAAATGGCTGATGTACTGCAGTTTATGATGATGTTGATGTTAATGATCGCTAACCTGAATAGGGAAACGGTTCATGAGTGACTGGGAGAACCAACGTGGAAACAACCAGCAAGCGTTACATCCGTCGATCGGCCAGCATTGTGACGTTGCTTACAAAGGAATGGAGTACCCGAAAAGTATATCACCATCTTTCGAGCATTATATTGCATTGTCTCAGGTAAAGTGAGGACTTTTGGTAAACTCTCTTCACCTTTTGCTGTCACTAGCGGTGTATGACAGGGTTGCCCCAGGTTCCTGTTTCTCTTCAATTAGCAATCCCGGATATCCTTTTAAACGCTCTCGAGGACTTTCAGGGTTCTGGTGTAGTGCTTCTTCCTGTCAACCACCTGAACGATTTGGATTGTGCTGATGAGGTTGCCTTGCTTGGTGATGACATCCAGAACACCCAGACCGCTCTAAAACGATTGGCGATTGAAGCACCACAACATGGAATGACCTTTACCCCTCCGAAATGCAAAGTCCGGGTCCTGGATTGGCACCCACTTGCTCCAGTGAGCACACCTTTAGGTAAGCAGCTTGAACAACCGGACAACTTTGTTTACTTGGGAAGCTGTCTCTGATGATGGTAGCATTGGAGAAGAGATTTCCCTCCGCATTGCTAAAGCCCATTCGGCATTCGCCAAATTGAGGATTCTGTAGTGACGCCATGACATTTCATTATTGGTATAGGGAAGGGTCTACGATGCCTGTTTTCACGCGGTGCTGCTCTATAGGAATGAGTTCTGGTCGATTCGTGTGAATGATGTGTCGGAATTCGGCCTTTGACAATGGATGCCTGCAGAGAATAGCTCGAGTGTGGTGGATGAACGACGTGTGCAACGATGATGTTAGACGTCGCGTGTTGGGTAACACGAAACTTCCACTTGACAGACTGGTACCGCTGCGGCAACTAAAATGGCTGGGCCACCTTTTACGCATGCCACGCGAACGGCTGCCCCGACGCGCTCTGTTCGCTCGTACAGGACCAGGCTGGAAGAAACCGCGCAGTGGTCAGCCTATCATGTGGTGACAAAAGATTAAAGCGCTGACTTCCAGTTTAGCTGTCGTAGGTCCCGTGCGTCTTCCGGGCTGGGGGATCAAAAATGAAGAACATCACTGGCTGAAAACTCTTTCGGAGATGGCGCAGAACCGGAATAATGGAAAATATGTACAAATGATTGCCTTGATTTTCGTGATTTATACCGCAAACGTTAAACAGACAAAAATAGATAACACGACGTGTGAAAAACAAAAATGACAAGATTGAAAAAAACTGTTTTGTGGTCGCTGTATTTATTACTTCCCTTTCATGGTTTTCGCTGGTTCTACGTCCATCTTATAGACTGTTGCTAATACATATATATATATATATATATATATATATATATATATATATATAAGCAAGTTACAGCATCAGCTATCTGGTATCATTATAGAGATTTACTTACGAAGAAGGATCCAGGAATTTGTCATCATTGATGCGAATTGAAGAGATGCAACCAGCGAAATTCTCGCGGGACCACACGTGCCACGGCAGTCGGCTTGGCTGATCCACACTACCGATGTAGGTGTAAGTAGCGAATTCCGTCTGATGGGCGGCAGTGCCTTGATCCACGTCAACTATTCGATCGTTAAATTTGATCTGCAAGAGTAACAATGTAAAAGGTGTTCGGTTTCTGGAAGAGTGGAACATATTAAGCTAACTCCGACGATTACCGCTGAGGGATTTTGGGACTTGTAAAAGGAAAAGGAAAGGATTGTGCGATAAAAAGACAGGGTGAAACCATGCATACAACAGACGATCACCAATAACATGTGATTGCAGTTACATAACCTAGGCAGTTTAACGTGTCGGGTACTGGTTTTCTCCACATGGATTTTTAACGGGTGCCCCATAGATTGGTTTCACTCAAAGATAAGAGTACAGCAGCTTTGACGCCAAGCATATTGGACAAAGCCAATTAACAAGGACTGTATTGAATCGAGGTAGTTTCCAATTGAACCAATCGAAGTATACAATAAAATGTTTCATTTAGCACCTTAGTAACTCAAAGTGGCACTTTTTCGTAAGACGCTGAAGGTAGTTTATTGGAAACGGTTTCGAAACACTTATGAGTACTAGCGTGTAATAGATAGGAGAACGGATGGTTTTAATCGACCCATTGTGCATAAATGTGCTTACAGAGTTCGGAGGTTTTATCGACTGAGAATGGACCATGATGAATTAACCGATTTATTGAAAATATCTTGCCACAGACAGAAATATGAAAGCGCTTGAGTTCGGAAAAATTTGCTCACCTTTTGTCAGTGGTATTCCCCTTTACCACGATGGAGTATTCGCGAGATCTTTCAGTGAAACATGAGCAACCACTAGAACTTAATCTATGAGTTATCTTGTAAGGTGAAACCCTCAGTTACAACTGACTCAGTGTGGTATAGATCTATTTCTCCTCACAAAATCTACCGTCTAATGTCCAGAAATTACTATCTACGCACAATGCGCCCCAGCGTTTGAAACCACTTGTACTTTCTTTCACATGCGGTTAAGATAAACATCCTTTCCCTTATCCTAACGTGTTTAAGTGCTAACTGTGCACTTAAAATCTTCTGGTTAAGTCAGTATAAAACCTGATGATCTCTTCTAGCCGATTTCTGTTATTTTCGCCCCTACGTTTATCAAATTCAAAAATCAATTTGAAGTCACGTTACTACACCTAAATGCTACCCAAATTTACTGGACTGAAGCATAACGTAACCAGACTGTGGGCGTATGCAAACCTTACAGTGAGTCAGACGACACAAGTTATTTTCTTCGACACACAACAGTTGGGTGCTACATTTTTCGCCTAAGGCGCTTATTAAATGCCTACCTTTCTACCCATGATAAACCCAATTTTACTACTTACAAATAATCAGTAATTGCCTTAGTAGCATACTTGCCACCTCGATTGGTGGCGGATTGCAAAGGAAATCGTTGCTCTGAGGGCCAGCCCCGTCCTCTACACATTCATAACATGCAAGACGGTGGAGGATGAGTCACTCTATATCGCAGTTAGATATCAGTCATGGCGGCCCGTTGCCATCGTCCATGGCTCAGGGACACAAGTCGCTGACTCGCAAGAGTAAGGTCATGGGTTCGAATCCGTCAGGATTCGGCGATTGCGCGCTACTAACGAGTCCCAATATGATGAAACGGTCGTGTAGCACTTTCCTGGATGTGTGTTGGCTGTCTGTCTGTGTCTAACTGCGACGAATCTACACAAAAACCAATTGTACATTGTTGTTTTGATCGTGTCCACTTCGTCTTTTACTTCCGTGAGTAAAAATTACCAGGTTAAATGTCTAGCCTACACCACGGATCCATTTGCCCAACTACCTAGATACTGCATTACATTTGTGTTTCGCTTAATTTTTAGCAGTGCTTCTCCATACTAGATTTCAGGTGCGGTATTGTTGGCGTATACATTAACCGAAATTTGTTTCCGGTGGCAACATTTATAACTGCATTTTAATGTGGATACATTGGAATGTGTGTGTCTTCAGAATGGACATCACGACACCGGCAATGGGAAACGGTATAAGTCACAGTCAAAATTCCAGGCGTATCGATCGCTCCAAACATGTATATCACTAGTTGGGAGCGAACACTAAATATTTAATCAAACGATGGGAGTGCGAAGACACTACTGCACATAATTTTGGTTCAGATGTATCGAACTTACCAAAAATCTGTGCTTTTCATTTCTGGAGACATAAACACGATTGGACATTCCGTTGTTTACCTTCATGCCTTCCGGATTGAGTTGAATGTGTCGGTAGTGATCGCCCACAGCGTAGACAAAATAGACGTTGCCATCGTACAGCTCAACGCACACAAAGTCAGTGTGCTCCCGATCGGGACCTCTGTATAAAGGGATGGAGGATCGCAGGATAACAATCAACACTGATTTGAAGCTGAACTTCCATCAGAACGGAAGATATACAACGGTTTGTCAACGCGAAGGGCGGGAGATATTGCATCTTATTGAGGATTTGAGCGGAGAGTAACCAAAGATTAGCACGAAAAGTCGGTTATCAAACAAACCCTGTGGCGAGGATTGTTGTGAGCGCTCAAAACAGGAGTCCCAGTGTTCACCCGTCTACACATATGCGGAAAACGGTCAGCAACGAGGACACCAGGGAGTACTGCACGGTGCCCGTTGCACACGCGGTTAAGCGAGCGTTGCATCGGGTCACTTTTTGAATACTGAATACTGGTTTGAAGCAGCGAGTAGAGCTTTCTCTGTGTAGTTGCATCATTCGTCGCTCTTGGACATTTACGCCTTATTTAGCGTTCCGCTCTGTAAATTTTGCCTTTGCAAAGTGTTTGTCTAGGAGCTTCTTAAATTCGGACACGGAGTTCGCCTCTACTACCTGCTGCTGCAGATCGTTCCAGACATTCACCACTCTGCGTTCGAAACAGAGTTGATGAGCGACCCGCTTCAACTGCGGTACGATAAGTTTATACAGGTGTCCTCGCGTGCAGCTTGGTGTGCGCAGATGAAGCAGTTGTCTCAACATGGGGTAATCACCCAGATGTAATATCCGGTGCGTCATGATGAGGTCAACTCTCAGCCGACGATAAGATAGGGTGTACAGCCCTAGTTTCTTACACCGTAAGTTGGGAATCAGCCTGGTGGCTACATGCTGCACCCGTTCAAGCTTTTCTACCTCGCCCAGGGTGATGGGACAATACGCGGGAGAGCCGTACTCTAGCATTGGTCGTATTACCGAGACGAAGAGGCGAGTAGCAATCTCTTCGGACCAAGTGCTGAAGCTGCGCCTGAGGGCCCAAAGCATCCGGAGGCGGTTTTGGTACAGCCTATTCGTGTTGTCAATGGACTTTAGATGGCAGCGTGAGAACACACCGAGGTCGCGCACAAAAGGAGCTGGATGCACCGGTTGACCAGCCACTGTGTACGTTCGGCTGTGCTCATACTTACCCAACCTCATATATTGCGACTTGGCAGGGTTGATCGGAAGGTTCACCTCTGCAGACCATGTCGAGAGGCGGTCGAGATCCTGCTGAAGTAAATCACCATCATTGAGTGTATGCATTGTTCTCTACACCTTCAAGTCATCTGCGAACAACGCACAAGGTGATTGGAGTAGCTGAGGCACATCGTTTACATGGATCAGAAACAATATCGGCCCCAGTACAGTGCCTTGGGGCACGCCGCTGCTCGATGGATACCAGTCGGTTGAATGGTTCTCAACCTGGACTCTACACTTTCGATCAACAAGGAAATTTCGGATTCATTTGTGCAGCGAACCACCAACACCGCACATCCTCAGCCTGTCAAGGAGCACTGTATGGTTGACCTTGTCAAAAGCCTTACTGAAGTCAATGTAAATGACATCGACCCATTGACCTTCGTTCAGCGCTTGTAACCATTCGTGCCTCGTCAACAGCAGGTTGGTGATGCATGAACGATCTTTCATGAAATCATGTTGTGCGGAGGTTAACAGGTTTTTCGACTCGAGAAGTTGCAGAAGGCTCTCCTTCACGATCTTCTCGCACGTCTGCCAAACCAGTAGTCAGGCAGATCGGCCGGTAGTTATCCACTTTGCTTGGGTTACCACCTTTCGGTATGGGCTTTACGACTGAGCATTTCCAGTCGTCCGGTAACAGTCCAGTTAAACAGTTCAGTTACCGAAGGCGCGATGATGGCCGATAGGGAGTTGAGGATCAGTGGGTGTATACTATCTGGCCCAGCAGACTTCGTCCCATCAAGATTTGCTAGAAGCTTGCGTACATCCTCAATATTGCTGTCCAGGCTGTTAAGTTCGGCTGGAGCGGTACTCGTCGAACTCGTTACAGACACCTGGTCACTTGCAAATACGGAGGCGAAGTGCGGCGCCAATGCGGACGCACGATCTGTACTCGAGGTGAGGGGCTATCCTTTTGAACCTTCTAACACTGGGACATTGGTTACAGGCCTCAGGCGCCGCAGCCAATGTTGGAGCACATATGAATGTAAAAGGAACCGGGTTCCATAACCGGTGTATACAGAGAGGTTTCGTAGACGGTCAAATCGGGTACATCGCTCTACCAATTATAGATGGCAGTTCCCCAATCTTATGCTGGAAACTGCTCCAACTGGTCAAGGGGCCTGTGATCTGATAAAAATGCTCGAAAAGAAAAGTATGAATAAGCTCTTCGCGTTACGCCTTTGGTCAAAACGAAGCTGATGCATTTCTCGAATAGTTTGTCTTTTCATCGATGGGAAGCTCACAAAGATCGAGTGCGCGGTTCCCCAAAGTTGCTAGTCTCGAAAAGGGTGCTGAATTTGAGACCACATGTGCATGTTCAACGTTTTTGTGAAAGGTTGGTAGGTTAAATCGCTCAAATGTTTCTTGATGTCCCCTATGTCTGATCAGAGCGACAAAAGTTGCTTCGTACCGAACACTGATACCACCATCGTATAAAAACCTTACAACGTATGAACACCGACGTGGCATTGGTGGTTTCGAGAATACAGTATGCGCAGCGACCAACAATGGATATCGTTAAATAGCAATGTATCCTCGATCAATGACAGATAAACCTTACCAATGACACTCACTGTCTTCATAAGTAAACGTATCAAAAGATACTGGGTGAAAGAAAATATTTGAGATGTTCGCTATAGCGCGTCGTTGACAAACACCAAATATAAGCGTGGTCACAATACTGTTGCTTTTGGTGAGTTTACGTTTTCAGCTGTCACGAAGGTCGCCAGAAGCATGAGGCAAGTTCTATTCCGATTATTTCTAAGCAAATTGTCATTGGAAATCAATTCAGCGCGAAAACAACCGTGTCAACCAGTTCACTAATAGCATTCAGCTTCAGCAAGGAGGATAATGCCTGCGAAAATAGCTTCGAGTAACCGACTTACACAAAGAATAGAATCCCTCTTGGTTCGTATGTCATAAACTCCATTTCGAACGATCGATAGACCGTGAAGTCCCATGTGTCGAACCTGACCACTGAGCTTTGGGTACCCATGAATGTGATCGGGATTGGCTCACGTGTCAATGCAAGTGCCATGGGCGTCCCCACTTTGCCCCAACTTGTTCGGAATGGCTTGGATGCCGTGGGAGCAATGACTAACGGCATTTTTGGTTCTCGGTATTCGTACGTCACTTGGCCGGTTTTCTCCACGGAATCTTGCCAGTGCGGATCTGTGACAATCTGTAGCAGATCAACTCGCTTGTCACCTTCCCTTGCAACGTCGGCCTAAAGGAAAAAATGTGAAAGAAATTTTGGGCGTTTGTCGGGATGACAAAGCATCGGTTCTGCATGGGTCGTCGTGCAAGTGGAACAACATATACCCAAAAGCAAAGTTTTGAAAAACCTAGTGTTAAAGCCAAAAGTGATACACAAATGTAAAACGGAGGAATACAAGTTGATTAAAAACAACCTTGAATTTAAAACAGAATTCTGAATTTTGAGAAAACTAGACGCTCATGAGTAGTGTCGGTTGGATGCGCAGTGTAGAGCTTGATGACAGATGTACGCAAATATGCCACCTTTAAGCACAATAAATTCCAGCTGTGATTAACTAGTAAAATGTGCGAGAATTCTGCAAACAAAAGGAAAGATTAGTAGTTAGGAGAAAGTGCAATGTGACATTCCGATGAATGGAAGCGACTAAAGTTGGTATGCTTCCCCAGTTTGCCCTGCTGGTGCTCAACTTAAAAGTGTTATTTTGTGGAATCACAGATGAGTAAAGCACAAGTCCACAAGCACCGAGTCGATAACAACGAGATGGAGACGGATCGCTTGAAAAGCAAATGTGGAGTGACGGTTGGATTGTTCAAATAACACCACCTCATGGCTGTCCACAGATTGAATGCCACTCTGCGAAGCAAGCTGTCAATTCCAAAGGATAAACAAGAGACACAATTAGGAACAAACGCCGTGGTCAAAATTAATTACGCCAATTGTAAAACGATGCATGTGGAACAAACAGGAAATTATCGACCAAGATATGGGTGTACAGAATACCAGCGAAAAATAGAATGTTTTGTCTCAGCGCACTTGGATGAAGAGGGACACAGCTTTGAGTGGAACAATTCGGAGCTTCTGGTTCCAATAATTCAGTCAAATTGCGCACTGACAGCAACCTCATGTAACAAAAGTCAGAAAAGAGGGTTTTAGACGAATCGAAAGCCGAAGTTGGAAATTGGACACAAGACAAACAAGTCGAGTGACCAGTTCATCACTGAGGTAAGCTGGCGCGAATCAAAAATAGCCATTTCAAAATCGCCTACTTGTCGATCACGGAGGGAAGATCCAATCAACAAGACTGTCTACTACACATTAGCGCACTATTTATATCTCCTCGATTAGTGACGGAACGTGTGCAACCGAATCACCAATCTCGATGAGCGAGCAAACAAATGAACAACCAAGTCGGACTACCAGTGTTTTAACTTGTTTCGGGCACCTTGCTCACTGATCAGTTTATAGTACATAACCGGGAATGCTGCCTGTGGTCTCACTGTTCTTCAGTCTGTGTTTGTCCAGAGAGTGAAATTCGTCAGCCATCAAGTAGCTGACCGAATGATGTGGTAACCGTATTACGGTATGTTCCGTTTAAAACCGCTCCTTTTTAATTTTGGTGTGTGGTAAAATTGCATTGATACCACAATTCGAGATATCGGCCTGTGTAGTAACTGAATATTTGCTCCTTGTCTATGCGCGAGGCACTTTCTTGATTCCATTGGAATAAATCCACGTTAGGACCATTCCGTTTAGAAGTAAAAGTTGAGTACAGCCCACATCGATGTTGTCCACCGTCCGAGAAACGGCATTCCACAATTGGTCCGCACTCACCTGATTAAGGTACAATCCCATTGACCGAATTGATCAAGATTCAGTTTAAAGTGAATTGTGGTTCTGAGTGATATTGTGTGCATCAATCGGTTCACACATACCAGGCATGATTCAAAATGACCCTTTCAACCACACCGACGTTGCTGGAATAATTAACGTGAACCGGACAGGAGTTGGAATGATAAATACAAACTATTGCTGCTAAGCCTCCTCATAATAAAGCAGTGTGGTACTAACAAGGGTTGATGAGAGCGGTGTGGAATCAATAGACTTTAAATCAATACAATTGTCATAGCAAGGTTTAATGATATTCCCAAGTTGAGAACAATTTTGTAACAGGTTCTGTTCTGGAAAGAAGCAAGCCAATCAAAGCCGCACTTATCATAAAATGGGAGTGTTAACACATATATATATATATATATATATAGATATATATATATATATTCTCAGACTACACGGAACACATGCTCGTTTAAAACAAACCTTGATGATTCGCCCCCGGAATGTTCCGTCAACTTTGCCATCCGTGTCCGTAAGAGGGTCCTGCGATCCACCCAGGGTAGCGTATCCATCGCTAGGTACCAGCGGTACCCGACCATCGATAGCCTTGCTCGCGTGGCTTCGTTCGTTCAGAGTTAGCGTGAGCTGTAACCAATAACATGTGACACAACGGTAAGAAAACGGGTTTTGTCGCTAATGATCAGGCACAGGCCTATTAAGACAAAGCACACATTGGTTGGTAACTCACATTCTCCTTGTCCCGGATGATTGATAGCGCATGTGGAATGTTGGCAGCCAACGGTGTATTGAGGAAAATTTCCTCAGTTAGAGTAAGTTTAGCTTTTCCAGTCTGGTCGATCACGACGTACGTGTAGTGGAGCCGAGAGGCCTGTGGATGACAATTCATGAATGTGATATGTTACCTACTAGAAAATTTGATAGCAGTAAAAGTTAAGTAATAGATTATCCTTTTACAGCGGTTTCCATACAACCGAAGTGAGGACAAGAAGTGCTTTGGAAATGATACACCCACCGACCGACTGTCCAAACGTAGCACAGTTAGCTTGCAAATTATGTAGCGCAGCCAACGTCTCCCATGGCTCATTGGCTTAGGCTGTTGGTTCGTTGGCATCGGCCTCTAGCGGTCAGGAGTTCGATTCCCAGTAGGGGACCGAGGGAATGCGCACCACTGACGAGCCTCAATTGGGCGAAACGCGTCTGGCGCTTTTTCGGGTTAGGCTGTACTATGTAGCTTGTGAACTACTGGGATGAATACCTCAAAAACATTACAACTAAAATCCTGCTACTCACGAGTAATATTTTCAAACATGTCAGTACTAAGGACCTTGCTCATTGGTGTGTAACAATTAACATTAACTCGTACATCAGTCTCCCACTGGAAACAGTCCAAGGTTCGTCTTAGGCAACACTAAACAACCGGTTGTGGTGTTTAGCTGCCCCAACAAACAAACAAACCGGCTCAATAAGTCCCCTAGAATGAATACCTCGCGGTCGATTCTAAGCGAACTTCAAGATATTCAGCCCAACATTCAATAATATTGGTGGTCTCTCAAAACATATATTTGGTTGCGTAATTGTGAATTGTGGAAGACGGTCGTCGTCTGGCTAACCGGCTATCGACCGTTATTGCATCTGTAATTGCAATTTATTTATGCACTTCATGTATCCAAAGAACTGGGAAGGGCAAGAAGTGATCAAAAGCTTGAGTGGTTACTTGTAAGTTGGATCATAAAGTTTGACGTCTCGATAGCTATATCTATTGTGTGAAGCCTACAAGTTATGCGGAAATAGAGGCAGACTAACTCAAGCAAAAGAAAGTATATTATGAAAGTGGAAATGGTTTTGGCTTACTGTTAATAAACGACTGCGTTACCTGAAAGTACGACTTGAAGAATATATACATCGTGCAAAAGTGCGAAACCAAAAGTTCGGTGGGTATTTCAAACGGCATCGAAAATTGAAGATGCTATATACTATTTAAGGTTAATACGATTGCTGGAAAGACTGGTCTCAAGCTTATCTGTCAAAATTCATAATACGGATGAACATGTTTTGCAAATCGACGCATTTCGGATCACCGTGCACAACTCACCTTAATGTACACGTAGCTCTTCGTGGCCGTGTTCTCGCTGAACCAAAGTAAACCCTCTTCAACACCGAGAGGTAATTCGAAGTCGATTGTCAGGGTCTCCGTATTACTGTCCTTTATAATTCTGTTGCGGAAATCGTATCGCACGAATGCATTGCCTCTGAAATTCATGGCATCTACCTTCTTAATCAAATTCGTCGGTATATCGTGTGCAGAAGAGTCCCAATCTCTTCTGTTTCGTTGTAATCCCGTCCCGGTAACCGGTTCGCGTTCCCATATACTCTTGTAAACAGGACGGACACTGGTGGCCAGTTCCAATGTCCTCAGTTTGACCGTAGTTAACACAGTAGTCCAGCCAGCCATATCGATTATCACTGACTGTGAGTGGGCTGGCATTGACTGCTCCCCGGATCCCCATTCGGTAACTAGGGTGCCGTCGGGAAATAGTACATAAAACAACGTCCAATTATCCGCGTTTTTGCCCAGATCGTTCTTAGTAACCACCCGCAGAATGCTGCTTTTATCGTCCCCAATCTGGGCAACTTTGATTTTGAAATTCACGGTGAACTGACCTGTTTGGAAAAAAGGACTCATCAATATGATCGATTACACCACAGTCAGCTGCATCAGGTTTAGACAGCACAGTAAAGTGCATCGCTGAGTTTTGAGTGATTGTTCAAACGTGTCACACCAATGCACAGGCCCACCAGTTTCCGCTATTTCTTCGTCAAAACCAGATCGTAATTTCGGTACTGCGTGTCAGGACTAGAGGTCTGATGGTATCCCCTCGGGACTTACAATGGCATGAATAAGCTTATTTGCGTTGGGTACGGTTAAGTCGGAGGAGGGCATGAAGCACATTTTGAAAAACGTCATCCAACCACTAGCTAGCTTTTCGACAAAACTCACAATAAACTTCGCCCTAGCAGACGATAGCGAAGGTACGGAAATAGCATGCGGTGGACGTCACATCTTGTGTAGCAAGGAGAAATAAGATAATGAGAGAGGTTGGGCGGAGTGGGAGTTCGAAGAGAATATACACCATCTCAATGCATTTTTACTGAAGTGCACGTTAGGATCGAGTGCTCTGGACCCATGTATATCTGTCAAGATCACGCAACGTCCGTTAGATAGTGCCCACAGGCAAAATTAAAGTGTAGCAAGCCCATACGGATCAAATGACACGTGTGGAACAAAGAGGTGGGAGCACACGGAACACACAGAGAGATGCCAACACCTGGCTCATTTGGATCGGTAGTATACACTACGCCATACCGCACATGGTTTTGGTCAGTCTGTTAATCCTTTGCTTAAATCACTGAGCTGCAATCATACACTCATTGCGCAACGAACTGCCACAATAACCACAATTGGACGGTGGAAGCGAGTCATATAAAACGCCACATACCGACAAACCTGACTGAGGTGCAATGCAAAATGAACTGCGATTCAACTCGATGTTGCATCCTGTGGCGCAAACCTACACTGGTTGCCTCAGGTTAAATCAAGAGGAAACTTCACTATGCATTGTGCTAACAGCTGTGACAGCCTCACCTTCTTACCACTCCAGTATGCTCAAAATAGTTTAGGCCAGGCGCATAGAGGAGCTCGAATGTCGGAACTACATTCCGCTAGGCAGATGAAGCTATTAAACCAGTGACCAAGAGTAGGCATCTCTATATCGGTCCAATTAGAATGGGAGGAAACAGTTCGCATTACGGCAAACTTGAACAAATTAGCTGTTAATCAAATATTTGAATTCGCACATATTTATTCATCATGTAAGAGCACTGAACATTTGCATGAATTGATGTGGTCAGTCGGGGGATCAGCGTTTTGCAAACTCGGAGAATATGCTCATAAATTTTGCGATATATAATCGTTGGAATGAAAGTTATTTTTAGATGCACCAATTCGATTAGTACACTTTGAAAGGAGGGAAGGTGGTAATCAATGCCAACTTAAGCCCAATGTCATAGGCCAATATGCCTGAACTCAGTTGACTAGGCTATGACCACAGTAAGGACAAACTTTGAGTGACTACAAGCCGGTTACACAGTTCCGACAGTAGCCACTTGATTGTAATTAATGCTGTCGTGACCAGGAGGCGAGACACACTACTCTCGTTGGTATCTAACGTCCACAGTCTATCAGGTGTTCCAAGATGGAGATGTGGCCATTCATAGTCGTACCACATGGTAACAAGTCAGGGCAGTGTTCCGCTATCCGCTTTGACAAGCGGCTGGCAGTGCATCTGAAATACCCTGCACCACAGGTGCAAGCGAATTGCTACCGAACAAACGATTCGAACTTTACCGGAATTCTGTCTCTTGAGCGATGAGTGATAAGCTAACCAGTTTTGATAAGGATGGGGATGCGGACTCCAGCAACTGGGTACGTTTGCTTAGGTGCGTAAGGAAATTTCCTTCTCAGCAGATCGAAAGGCGCGTCCCTTTGAAAGGCACTGAAGGGAAAATGAACTATTTTCTCCATGTCATTTTTGTTTCAGACTCAGGACAATTCGACATATGCTTTTGATGAAAATAGTGGGATACACGTTGCCTGCCAATGTATTGAGTATGAAATCTTTTCCAATTGCTAGCATCTTAGCTTCAAAGTATTGTGACCCGGTAGCACAGACAACGTGCTAAGTTGCGATTGTACATCATCCTTACGAAATGGTGGAAATGCATTTACTGATCTACCCAGGTCGTCTTTCAAAAGATCTTTGGTTCAAGCAATCCATCCTTTTTCGTATCAGCATGACAGCCTTGAAGGACGGTTTACCGTGAACCTCAATCTCACAAGTATATTTTAACGACTAGTGCGTGTTGCTAAATTGGTTCAACAGGTAGCAATATTCAAAGTGCCCCTGACCTCAAATATTTGGAGTGGTCAGTTGTAGGACCGCCATTAACAGATTTAGTGTTTTTATGTAGAGAATGCAGGACTAGCTAGATGTGATGTCCTCAGTGTCCCCAACCAAAATGGAGACGCAGGTATATTTTTACGATCAAATCCTCTTGGTTTATGTGTACTTTAAGTGTAGAGTTGCACGTGAAGACCCGAATGAATTTGCTTCAAGTGGTACCATAATGATTAGACACCTTACCTTTTACGATTCCTTTTTTTATGCTACTTCATGTGATTAGCCCCTCGAAACATTCCAGTCCACGCATGTAGACTGGGTCGAAGGGAATGCTACCCGCCAAGGGATGACACTAGCACAAATACATCAGTCGACGCTGAGAAAATCGTCGTTCTGCGCTCGGTGCACCGTGCGGTACTAACCATTTGGGACGACGAAGAGCACAGAGTGCGTAATTAATAATGTTGATATTGGACTAGTCCGCAGATTAGACCGGGCAACCTAAGTTTTCTGGATTGATCCACAGTGGATTCTGAGGCGAATAACGAAGACCCGGTATCGAGGATTACGACTCTTACCACACACCAGTTGACAAACTTTACCCCGGTCAATCTTTATGAGTGTACCTGAGCACCTCGTGCTGACAGCTCGCTGCTATTAGAAGAGATGAACAAATTGTCAGACATTGAGAGGGGAAACGAAGAGAAAATTATAAGACATACATGTCCTGGGGAACCCGTAGACCACAGAGTCCGTTTACTACCAAAGGTTTACATTTGATAATGGTGCTCAATCTTGCACATGTATGGTGACATCTATCGTACAGTTATCAACCCTATCTCACAACTAGTTTAATATCATGCAAACCATAAACAGGAGGTTCATTTAGAAGACCACAGTACGCAGGTCATTGGTGCTGGTTGCGAGCTCCATTCAAACCGTTGATCCACATATTTAGATAATTTCACAAACCCCAGTTAGGAAGGCAAAGCTGATCGACAGCGCCTACTTCAGAGGTTAATGGCATCAATTCTACTGTTAGGATAGCGATTATCCCCTCCGAGACGTGGGCCATCCTGGATACGAGAAAGAAAAATAAGGAATACACTGCGCAGTACGTGCCCGAGCCAAAATAACTTACAAAACCTCACTTGTTGAGTAGCCGAAATAATCTGGCCGTCGGGCCATTGTATGCTTCCCTCAGATTCTGTTGTGGACAACGGTTGACCAGCAAAATGTCAAAAGATTCAGAATCGACCAATTTCCTCTAAGTGGGAAGAACAGGTTTCGTCCTCGCAAACGGCCACCGCCCCCACGTGCTCCTACGTATAAAGTTATTAGGACCTCAGGAGGTATCAACTTTGCAGAATAGCAAAGGCATTACCGGTTTTTTAGTGCTTAGAATAAGTTCAGCAGTCACATAATTGTAGTTACCAATAAAGCCGACAAGCTTGGGGAACCTAAACAATTTTCTGCAATTTTTCGTCATTATGGGGCAAGGCAAAGCAGCAAGAAACTGGTGATCCTGTAGCAGAATTTTGTACTTGTGAATATGCGGATCCATTGGGTCTCTCTGAATTGTAGGCCAACATTTCGAGCAACTCACACGCTACAGAGACCTCAGGCGACAGACAGTGATATTGGCGCTCATATCGGGATCACGAAAAGGCGTAGGAAAAATGAATGAACACATTAGAAAATGGTGTAACGAGTTCGGACCACTCTTTCATACCCGAATGGCGCCGAACGAAGCATTCTATGTATCATCTACTGATTAGTAAACGCATGTCAGCCAATTTTGGACATATTACTAGTCAAAGAATGCATTTTGATCATACTGCTGTCGCTACAGATGAAGACCGATATTTCTTAGTTCAATCTAGTAGATGTCAGGATACTAGTAAGAGTAAAAATTTAAAAGGCGAGTGAATTCATCATAACATGATTGCTACAGATCAGGCTAGCAATATACCTCAGGTCAAGAGAATAAACAATGCGACCCAACGGTCAATCCACCACGCACCGATGCAACAAATAGGTCATGGAGTAACAGGAAGGTTAAGGTATGAGCTTTAAGCGGGAAGAAAAGTAAGTCGGGAGCATTGGTAAGCCACTTCAGCGGAGGTCGAACTAGTGCCGTAGCCTGCCCTAAGAAGGAAACTTTGTAAAGAACCCTGTCAAATTGCAAAACAATGCAACATACTTAAGCAGCACAGTGAACTAGGGGGACTTACTAAAGTGTTCAACATAACCAGTGACTTGAGATGTTCACACAAAACAAGAGAGTTGACGGCTGACGTCGAAAACTCGCACTTCCCAGTAGGTTCGCCTTTCAGGGTGGTTATGTATAGTCTTTAATTCCAGTCTGAGTAAGTTGATTCAATGTCTTCAATCCTCTTAAGGGTGTTAAGAACTGCTGTGCCTTTAAAGCGGCCGTTACTTTTGCGTAGAATATCAGTTTTACGGTATCTACAACAGATGTCAGTTTTGCAAGAACACTTTCTGGTAGAATGTTCAGCCTACTTCCAATGTCACGGTGATCGTCCCAACCTATCCACCTTTTGAACACAATGAACGTGATACTGCATACGGCCCTCGAGTTATTGCCTCTGAACACGAAAATTTGCGCTACTCAAAACCAGTTATGAAGCAACGTTTTGTGAATCTAGGCTCTGTTTATTGGATGAAAATCGCGAACATTCCGTTCAAAACTGCGCGATCGTTG